CAGAAACATTCTCAGCGACTTGGGAGTGCTCCGGAGAGAAACCGAGCTTTTAGCTTCTTGTTGCTATGAAAATGGAACAAAATGGGGTCAAGAGGCAAGTACAATCAAAAGAAACATAATAACCAAAACCCTTGTAATTTGCTGCAATTAGTGACTGTATTTCCTTTTCGTTGACTCCCTCTCGCTCTTATTCAAGTCAGCTTCATGTATGTATCGGTGGCTGAGGACTGCTTCACCAGCTTTACCTTACACTGCAAGGGATGGAAATCGGTCTTCGACAACTAATTTGAACGATCAATTGGTTCACAGCACGAGATGGAGTTCCAGGTCGGCTGAGGATGTGTTCTCCAGATTTTGTCCTCTGATTTATGCGTCATGGAGGATGAGCATTCTTCAGAGCATGTGACTCAGATTGCATTTGGCCCATGATGGGTTTGAAGCGTCATGAACTTATATTAAATAGCTTGAAGTGATGAAGTAAATAATGCGGAGTTGGAGAAGAATTACAAGGGGCTAATTTAAAAAAAAAGCACAAATTTTAGGTTGAATGACAATTCTGGCCTCAATTTTTTTTGCCTCATAAAAAAACACAAACTTTAGGTCGAGTGATAATTCTGACTTTAAACTTTTTTTGTCTTTTAAAAAATCACCAACTCTCACCCTTATTCCAAATGAGGCCCCCTGTTGATTCTTTGTTTGTAGTCACCCTTGTTTGAAAAAAAAGGTTATGGTCGTGAGCTTTGCGGATCTCATCCATGGCGTCTGTCAACAGGCGGTGGTCTACAACTTCATATTATGACAAAACGATAAAGTCCAACAAAAAAGATTCAATCTAGAGATCTTTTTTACTTGCCGGTGAAGTGAATGAGACGATCAGTTTCACCGTTATTCTTCAAGCTGTGACTCAGAGAAGAAGATAATGAATAATGCTTTAAATCCAGTCAACAAGCCATGTGGATTTATTGCTGAGGTGGAATAGTCAAGTTGGATAATCAATGATTCTAAGTCAAGGGGGTCAGATTTGAGATTTAAGTGAAAATTTGTGATTTTTTATTAAACAAAAAAAAGTTAGGGTCAGAATTGTCACTTGACCTAAAGTTAGTATTTTTTTATGAGACAAAAAAAAAGTTGGGATCAGAATTATTACTCAACCTAAAGTTGGTGCTTTTTTTGGAATTAGGCTGAATTACAAGTGAAGTCTTTGATGCCTCCTTTAGCAAGGACATGTATATTCTTCGTGTGGTTTGAAATAATCGATTGCTCCATTTATACACATCATGTTGTATAGCTACTTCTGCTTTGTTGGAGTTGCAGCAGCTTCAGTTGAGCGTCGGATGCACTTGTGAATTTATTGGAGTGCCACGTCAGCGATTTCTAACGGAAAAATGGATGAAAAACTATATTACAATTTCATGTGAAGATTTAGGACTGAATTGGTAAAAATAAAAAAATTAGGACTGAATTAATATCCGCATAGTGAATTTAGGATTGATTAAACAGTTTTCGCATTACTACCGAGTAACTCAACCCAACTATTTGCTTCAAAAATTTCAAAGTTCAATGGCTTTTCAAGGGAGAAGTAAATGCTAATACGAGTCTATGTATAATAATATACACGCAGAGGTGGACATCCGTTTCATCAAGTATATATCTCAGCCTTTCTGAGAAGACTGTTTGGTGACTGTACTCCTTTTACGTATACATATAATTCTAATGACGTTTCATAAATGAAACGCATGGTCCCCATCTGCCAAAAATTGACAATAAGCATTCTTCCCATCTCACTTTCTCAGGACGCAATTACTCCTGTTGAAGTACAGCCACAACTAAGGCATGGGCTCGACAATTTTAGTGACGAATCAACGGAAGAGGAAAGACCAAATTACCAAAACAAATAGAATGAAGGGTTATCGTTGATAAACAATCCACTCGTTAAAATTGAATTGCAAGATTCGTTAACTTTCGCATTATTTCGCAATAAAAAAAACCATTCTTCACCATAATTCCCAAAACTGTGCTTTGAGCCATGTAGATTTCAAGTCTTACAATTTGGATTCTAAGGTTCAAAGGAACAACTTTACCTCCTGTAGTTTCTATTATTTCTCAGACTTCAATACATAAAAGTGTAAGGCATTTCAAAATTTAATGTACATAGTCTATATATCTTTGAAAGTAGATGAAGATTGGGACGATCCACAACGATGGATATTTTCAAATTTTAGACAGTAAAATTACAAATTCGCCTATTTTTACTTTTTACTTTTTCTTAACCAAAGTCTTGTAACATATGAACTTTGCCATACTTTAGTCCGAGGGACTTGAAGTATTCACCACATTCAAATGCTAATATGCAGATTCAAATGTTTTTTCATAATTTTTTTAAGGTCGAATAATATTTTAAATTTGACGCGAAAATGAGAAATAGCTTTTTACATTTTAAATAAGTAGAAACAAGCACCCCCTCATATCTTTAGAAGACACTTTAAATAAAAGGGGAACCTGACATACAAATGAATCAACTTGTTTGAAAACATGATGAATAGATGTCTAAATCTGTGTAATTACATTGCCCAGACTTGACGGTAGTGATAAAAAAAAAAATTTCCCCTTCTTGTCACAGTATTATCATATTTGATGATCGTTACCTCACCTTTTCCAAAAGCCGCGATTGGAAATATCACAATTATGCGCACTTTTATTAGAATTGCTGGAGATAGATTGATTGATTAGAAAGAAGAGGAAATGGGAGAGGGGGTTTCGGATAGATATATCTCTTTAATGGGAATTTTAGTTAATTAAGCTAAAAAAGGTGTAAATTAAGTAATTTAATGTGTGGAATTAGCGCCACATTATAATATTTCATCGGACAAAGCTTCATATACATCCTATTTAATCTAGATTATCTTCTAGATATTTTCACAATCAATATTTTGTTTGGACATGTTAGCATATCCTAGACCGACCAATTGCAAAATAATAGTCAAGATTTGCCTAAACATCATAACCATGGTGTACTTAACAGTTGAACAAATTGAAAGTTATGCTTGACCTATAATGTATTAACTTAATATTTGACATCATACAATAATTTTAACCATTTAAGGACAAAGCAATCAGTTAATAACAGAGTAAATATGTCACCGTTACATAAAAGGATTATAAAAAATAGAAGATAAAAAGAAATGGTTGTTAGGTGATCTAATAAACAGATTTTATTTTCATTTTTAAAATTAGTTGTGATGATTGTGTTTGTTGTGTAAAGAATGGGAAAAAAAAATAGAATTAACAGACTATAGACGTGTCGCATGAGTAAGTTTTCTTTTAAAATTCTATTTGCCATGCTTGCATAATGTGACGAAAATAAAATATGTTATAGTATATCTTCGTAGATGAAAATAATTAACACAACCTTACTCGAATTAGATTATAGCAACCGTGCATGAAAGCGGTACGTGGTGGGAAGTATTGGAACCCCATAAGCATATAAAAATATTGTTCGAGGAACATATTCTAAAAGCCAATTTCACCTTTTTGGTATTCTAAAATTGGAAATATCATGGAACATATTCTTCAGCTATTATCAATATTCAAAATGTGCTCTTGAGAAGCTAAATTCAAATTAAAGAGATAATTTTCATCATCTAATTTCTAAAGCATACGAGCTGTAAATATTGATCTCAATTGGTTTTTTCTTCCTCACATACCCTTAATTACTTATCTTATAAATATTGTGTCTATGCACAAATGCATAAACTTATGATTCTATTTTATCTCTCACATGCGTTAACATTAAAATTTAGATATTTTCAATCCTAAACAACTTTCTTAAAAATATTTCAAATCTTGAGATTTTTTCTTCCACATATATATATTTGTATACAATTTTGCTCTGTATCATTATCAACAATTTGTTTCGCGTTATTTGGCAATCTAAACATTTCGTAATAAAGTAATTTTGCTCGATCTTTCACACGTCGGTTTCTTGCACACATGCAGCGAGAGTGCAAATTTATAGGTTAGGATAGTAAAATAAAAGTAACTCTTATTCAAAATACTATATTTATCGAGAGAAATGATTAAGTGACAATGTTTAATTTACTGTGAGATTAACATGTTTTGGACCACAAAAAAATAAATATCAAATAATTATAAATTGTTTTGGGGCCTATTCTTTTAAGAATTTATGGCTCACAACATGTTATTATTATCACAGTGACCCAAAGAGTGTTATGCTAGCAAAGTCCATTTATCGATTCTTCATTTAAAAGCATTGAGTCCTTAAATCCAAAGATGCTCCCGGTCTCGGAAGCGCGTATACTTTCAATCTTTATCATGATTGATTTCAATTCTATTCTCTTTTGTCATAGTGATTCCTAATGCTGTATTCGGCAATATGAGACTCTTCCAAATATACAATTACATCGTAATCCAACACACTTGGTACCTTATCATTGTTCTTCATTAGGAACCAACGGAATTCGACTTTACACTGTTGAAACCGCGAATCTTGATGTGCATTCTAAGTCGAGAACCATCTGAATTTAATAATGCAAGAATCACTGAGGTGACATAAATTAGTTAACTTTACTCTTTGTAGCAATATCGTAGGATGTAATGAGCGACAAGCTTGTACTTCGATGATGGAAAGTAGGGCTGTAAACGGTTCGGTTCGGTTTGATTTTCTTGAAAAACCGAACCGAATCGAACCGTTAAGGAAACACCCCTGAACCGAACCGAAACTCGCTCGAACCGAAAAACCAATTTTGGTTTGGTTTGGTTCGGATCAGTTTTTGGTTTCTTCTTCTTCTTTTTTTTTTTGCTTTTTATTCATGGCTCGATTTTTTGTTTTTTCTTCTTTTTTGCTTTTTATTCCTATAAAAATATTTTAGTCATTTACACTATTCAACTATTTATAATTTCGATTACGTATTGCTGAATCACCATTTCGAATAAGACGAAAGTTAAATAAATCTTTTTAATATTGCTGAACTCCTCGGCCAAGTTATTTGTTTCCGTGCCCTCTTCCACATTATTAGCTTCTCCGGCAGTTACGTCTGAAGAGATGTTTCCTGGAATCCTGATCAACTGAGTACACGATCTCTCCACCAAAGGCCTCAGTCCAGTGCCCTCACTCCCAAGAACAAGAATGGTGGGTACACCAGGTGAAATGTCATTCAGAGGGACAGATTTAGAAGAAACCGATCCTCCAAGGACTCTCCAACCATTTTCTGCTGAGGCTGTGAGGAATTGCATCATGTTCTTGCAATATCTGAGCTCCATCAACTCCAGAGAACCAGCACTTGCTTTGCTAACCACACCACTTAATGGAGCTGAATTTTTGGCACACAAGACCACCCCTGAAGCTCCAAAGAAATAGGCAGACCTAATGATTGCCCCCAAGTTCTGAGGATCTGTGACCTCATCCAAAGCTACCCACAGAGATAGAAAACACAAGGATAGAGTCATGATGAGAAAAGAGAAATACCCAAAGCAAACTAGTTCAACAGAACAAACAAACACAAGGATAGAGTCATGATGAGAATGTTAGAACATGTTGTATAGTTTTGTAGGTTTTCCTTTACATCTCTTCTTTCTCTTTGGTCCCACATAGGAAGAATGCTAGGCTCCTTTACTCCTCTAAGCCTATATAAAGGCTTCTCATGTACATTGTTTCATACACCATTATAAGAGAACAAATACCATTCTCTTTTAATCTTTCTTTCTTATTATGGTATCAGAGCCAGGTTCATTATCTTGAAGAGTATGCTCTGCGGTTGCCATCAATTGGATCTTCCGCATCAGAAATTAAGACAATGAGCTCATTATTTTTTAAAGTATGCTCTGCGGTTGCCATAAATTGGATCTTCTGCATCAGAAATTAAGATAATGAGTTTAGGGCTTTTGGGCTATCATCCTTGCTCGTTCTAATCCGCGCTTCTTCTTTCTCGATCCTTTCGATCACCTCAATCCATATTTCTAGCTTTGTTAGTGATTTCTTTTTCTGTCGTCATGAGTGATTCTAGTGACCGTATTGACGTCAAACTTGATGGTTCAAATTATTCTCTTTGGAAACCATTGGCAATGGCAGCACTTGTTTACCGCGACTTGTTTGAGCATGTGTGAGGGACTTTGTCCTTGTCCTGGTGCTCTTAAAAGTGACTCATCTGATGAAGTTGCGAAACGTGCCGCTGAAATTCGAGCATGGAAAGTTGCTGATCGGAAGGCATGGGCTATCATTTTTGGTTCATCGATCCTGCTCTTCGCCCACAATTTTCTAATGTTGTTGAGGCGAAAAGTTTATGGGATCAACTTGCCGAGATGTTCACCCAGACAGGGGACATTCGAGTTTATCAGTTGGAGTTCAACTGCTATTTTGGCTGCTCCACCACGTGTTCCGCCTACAGTTTTGGTTGCTCCACCACGTCCTTCGCCTACTCATGGTCCTCGCCGCCTTTCATGTACGTATTGTCATCGTCCTGGTCATGACGAGTCACATTGTTGGAAGAAGAGGAATGCTTCACGCCTTTCTGCATCACCACGAGTCACTACCGTATCTCCAATCTCTTAACCTATTACTCTGGTTTCTCTCTCTACGGATGACCGTATTGCTGCTCTTGAGGCCCAACTTGCCCGATTGAGTCCTTCTCTACCCAGGTCATTTCCCGATTTAGGTACTTCTACATCTCTCTCATCTGCTGGAAGCACCGCTGCAGCTACTCCACCTTCAGGTGATATTTCTACTACTTTGGTACTTGACTCAGGAGCTGCTAGACATATGTCTACTTCCGCTGTTTTTCTCACTAAGCTCTCTGAGCTCAAGAAATCAGCACATTTCTTTACTGCTAATGGTTCTCCTCTACTAGCTACCCGACAAGGTACTCTTACCGTCTTTCAAGATTTCAATGTCCCTGATGTGTTACATATTCCCTCTTTGGCTCTCAATTTATTATCTGTTGGACAACTCACCGATGCTGGATGTACTGTAAGCTTTACAAATAGCTCTTGCTTTGTGCAGGATCGTTTGAGTGGCAAGATGATTGGCAGGGGCAGTAGACGGGATGGACTTTATATTATGCAACATCTCCATCTTCCAACTTCCTCTCTTCTTCATCCTGTGTTGGCTACCCTCGATCTTGCTCGGTGGCATCAGCGTCTTGGACATATTTCGTCTTCTCGTCTCACTGTCCTTCACCATCAAGGTGCTTTGGGTCTTATTTCTTCTGGTAGTATTCCTCCATGTTCTATCTGCCCTTTGGCCAAGCAATCTGCTAAGCCTTTTCCTGTTAGTAACTCTAGAACTAGTGCGATCTTCGATCTTGTTCATTATGATGTTTGGGGTCCTGCCCCGCTCTCTTCCAAGAGTGGTTTCAAATATTATGTATCATTTATTGATGATTATTCTCGTTATACATGGGTCTATCTTATGCGTCAACGTAGTGATTTCTTTACCATCTATCAGTCTTTTACTTCCATGGTTTCCACACAATTTAATACAAAAATCAAAGTTTTCCGTTCAGATTCAGGGGGAGAATATCTCTCTGGTGTCTTTCGTTCCCTCTTAGCTAGTGATGGTACACTTCCTCAGTTATCTTGTCTTAGGGTTCCAGCTCAAAATGGAGTTGCTGAACGCAAGCACCGTCATATTCTAGAGACCACTCGTGCTCTCTTACTTGGCACATCCGTTCCCACTGAGTTCTGGGTTGAGGCTCTTCTCACGGATGTTCATCTAATTAATCGCCTACCCTCATCTGTTCTCCATCAAGACACCCCGTTTCAGCGTCTCTACTCTCGACCTCCTAGCTATAATCATCTTCAAGTTTTTGGATGTACTTGTTTTGTCATTCTTCCACTCACTGAACGTACAAAGCTTACCGCCCGCTCTATCCCATGTGTATTCTTGAGTTACAGCACTGAGCACAAAGGTTATCGTTGTTATGACCCAAATGCGCGACGTGTACGTATTTCTCGTAATGTTACGTTTCATGAACACATCCCTTTCTTTCCGACAAATACTACACCTCATGTTTCGTCTCCTATTCCATTTATGGATTTTCCTGTTGATCCTCTACCTGACCCTTCTAGTCCCTCTTCTACATCGGATCTAGATATATTGCCACCTTCTCCATCTTCACCTATCCCTTGTACTCGCACCTCCCGTCCGTATCCGCCTCGACAATTCTCGCACAACTAGAGCCACGCCTGTAATCCCGCTCGAGATCGGCGTCCACTCGCCCTGTATGTTGCTACTTCTTATTCTACTGAGTTTGGATCCTTTTTAGCTGCTATTCATGCTGTACAAGAACCTAATAGTTATCGCAAGGCAGTTCAGCATGTAGAATGGCGCCAGGCTATGTCTGAGGAACTCTCGGCTTTGGAGAGTACTGGTACTTGGGAGCTTGTGCCTCTTCCTCCAGGTCGCTCCCTCGTATCTTGCCGATGGATATATAAGATTAAGACTCGTTCTGATGGCAGTATTGAGCGTTACAAAGCTCGTCTGGTTGCTCGAGGTTTCTCGCAAGAGTATGGTATCGACTATGAGGAGACCTTTGCTCCCGTAGCAAAGATGACATATGTCCGTGCTTTATTAGCTGTTGCTTCAATTCGCAGTTGGCCTCTCTTTCAGCTTGATGTGAAGAATGCTTTTCTTCATGGTGATCTTCAGGAAGATATCTTTATGCAATCTCCGCCTGGTCTTGCTCATACCTCTGGACAGGTTTGCCGCTTGCGACGCGCTCTTTATGGTCTCAAACAGGCCCCTCGTGCTTGGTTTGAGAAGTTCAGTGATGCTATTCAAGGTGTTGGTTTCATTCAAAGTGAGGCTGATCATGCTATGTTTGTTCATACCTCTTCTTCAGGCTGCACTATTCTTCTTCTTTATGTTGATGATATGGTCATCACCGGAGATGATCGTGACCATATTGAGCATACCAAGCGGCACCTTTAGCAACATTTTGCCATGAAGGATCTAGGACCACTGCGCTATTTTCTTGGGCTTGAGATTGCTCGCAGTTTACGTGGTATTCTCATTTCTCAGCAGAAATATACCGCTGATATTCTGTCCAGGGCTGCTCTATCAGATTCACGTACTGCTGCCACTCCTATTGAGCTCAATCAGAAGTTTTGCCCAGACGATGGAGAACCTCTTTCTGATGTCACCCGCTATCGGACCTTGGTTGGCGCCTTATTTATCTTACTATCTCCCGACCCGACATCGCCTATCTTGTTCATGTTGTCGATCGGTTTATTCTTGCTCCTCGAACAACTCATTATGCAGCTGTTCTAAGGATTCTGCGCTATCTTCGAGGCACTTTATCGCGTTCCTTATTTCTACCATCTTCTTCTGCTCTCAAGTTGCGTGCCTATTCTGATGCTGATTGGACTTTCAATGTCACTGATCGCAAATCTATCACTGGTTATTGCATTTTTCTTGGCGATTCACTTATTTCTTGGCGTTCCAAGAAACAACATATTGTCTCACGCTCCTCTACAGAGTCCGAGTATCGTGCTATGGCCGACACTACTGTTGAGATTGTTTGGCTTCGCCGCTTACTTGCTGATATGGGAGTTTCACTTCTGGATCCTACTCCTCTGCATTGTGACAACAAGAGTGCCATTCATATCGGTGCAAATCCAGTCTTTCATGAGCGTACCAAACATATTGAGATCGATTGTCATCTGACTCGTCATCATCTCCAAGCTCGCACTATTTCACTTCCTTTTGTTGGAACTGAGAATCAACTTGCCGATTATTTTACGAAGGCTCTTACATCACAACGATTTAAATTTCTTCTTTCCAAACTCTCGTTATTTGATCCACCTTGAGTTTGAGGGGGGTGTTAGAACATGTTGTATAGTTTTGTAGATTTTCCTTTACATCTCTTCTTTCTCTTTGGTCCCACATAGGAAGAATGCTAGGCTCCTTTACTCCTCTAAGCCTATATAAGGGCTTCTCATGTACATTGTTTCATACACCATTATAAGAGAACAAATATCATTCTCTTTTAATCTTTCTTTCTTATCAGAGAAAAGAGAAATACCAAAAGAATATGATGAATTATGAAAGTGACGGAATTACGTGCAAAAACAGATTGCGCATGCAAGAACACCTCTATTAAGCAAGTTTGATGGAATTGCTTTCCCATTTGGTCACAAATACCTTATAATATACATGATCAATCCCATTAAGGAGTGGATTTCAGTAGCCTAGAAATGAAACTCCCATATATATCCTTTCATTGAAGGACAGAAAAGATGTTTTCGTTGGCAAACAGAAATTAAACTTTTCCATGGATTCTTAATAGAAAATCAGATGACATAAGCCATATGCTCATGCTTTGCTGATTCAAAGAAATGGGAAGATACATGATGTAGAATTCGAAATTCAAGCTGCAATGCAAATTCTGAAGGCAATTCTTTCCCCAAAAAAGTATTTGAATTCAACGCTGTTAGCAACCTTTGAAACTCAAGGTAATATAGATTGCATATACCTCACTTCGCCTAAATCAGAACAAGTTAACATAAAATCCAGCTCCAAAACAGAGGAACAATTAAAACAAATGAAAACCATTGGCCACCCATATAACAAGAAGAAAGACACAGACGAAACCATTGTCCTCGAAAAAAAAATTCACAATCCGACTCGCAATCTCTAAACCACAAAAACCCCCACCAAGCGGACACAAGAACCATCATCGAAGATCAAAGCCGAGATGTACACGAAGACAGAACTGCTGAAGCGAAAACGGTCAAAGACTTGACCGAGAGAAGACAACTGAGAACTCACCAATGGGCGAGAAGCCGGTCTTGGGCCTCTTTGGGTTTGTTGCGGCCGCGAATCAGCTTCGGAATCGTGCAGCAAAATCGGAGCTTTGTCGAACCAGAATTGCAAAAGTACAGGACCAAAAGTACGCTAATACCTGCAGTCATATCACTTTTCAATTCAGCGAAACAACAATTCGCCATTAAATAAGTATATGAAAATTAGAAGTAATTGAAAATGCCAACTGAAAGAGCGAAAGAAGCTACCACATGCCACGAGATATGATTCAGTATCATTTCAAAGAAAAAAAAATAAGTAATGACGCATTTCTACTTCCAAAGAGAGCTGTCAATTTCTGATGGTTTCTCAAGACTGAAGCACAAATGCTCAAGAGACAACGCTTTCAACACAACTTGAAATACTTAAAGTACAATGCAGATCGACTTGAAGTTCTTGAACAGGAAAGTGACTCCACAAAAACTACAAGATGAACCCTCCCCAAAACAGTATGAGAAAAGGGTATAACACAGCGTAAAGTAACAAGAGAGATGGTAGTAAATGTGAACAGCACGGCTATATAAGCAAAGGCACCTCTTAGTGGAAATTAGTTAATCAAACAACACGGGAAATGGGCTCAAAACCCAAAAACCACTGTCTCGATTTTCTGCTAGCTTGAGAAGACATGCAAGCAAAGAATTTCATCACACGACACCATTCCTCTCCTGAGACGAATGCTCCTCCCTCTCTCTGCTAAACTAGAACACTTGGAAACGGCTCTCAGTTGTACTCCGCCCTCTCGACGACAAGTACAACGCAGATCCCATCGAGCCCGAGGCGAAACTACCACAGCAAGAAAACCCAAAAAAAAAAAAACAAAGCCGACCTGCGATAGATTTCGGGAGTTTTCAGACAAAAACCCACGAACAAACCAGCAATGTCGACTCCGAAATAGTAAAAGCGACGTCCTCACCCCATCGCTGCAGCTTGCGAGGAAACAAGATCATAAAAAATGAAGCATACCGCTCAAACCCAAGGCACGGACTACCGAAGCATACCGATTGCGAAGATGACACTCCTCCTCTGCCTCCCTTTTTCCGGCGAGAAGACGATCGGCGGAGGAAAATGCCCGGCTCAAACCCAGGGCTCGGTCACGCGGACCGGCGGAGGAAAACGCTTGGCTTGGGCCCGTGGTCCCGGCGGGAGCTGCGGCCGGCGGAGGTGGCAGCGGGGCCGGAGGGGAGAGTCTCGAATTTCGGAGGCGGAGCGGGGAGGACGAGAGGTAGAGGGAGAGAGGGAGATGCGAGCGCGCGAGAGGGCGACTGGGCGAGATAGGGCTTTTTAGGGCTAAAACCGAAGTTTATTTCGGTTCGGTTCGATTTGAACTGATCCGAACCGAACTAAAATAAATCGAACAGAAAAAAAAATTGATTAATTTTGATTATCCGAACCAAAATCAAAATCGAACCGAAATACATGAAATTTTCGATTCGATTTTTCGGTTCGATTCTGACTCCCTATAGACAACGACACTAGAGTGGTCGTAATCATTTAGCCCTCCACTTTCCTTGGCGAGACCGAAAGAGGGCGGGCTGAATGAATGTGCTTAGGGTTTGTCTGATGTAAATTCATGGGTATTTGGGTCCACTTGGCAACTTTATCATGTAAAATTCTTCTAACTCCGAAGAACTCAAAACCAAAATGACAATGCCTACGTGTAGCTGGCAAAAGAAGTAAGGTACCGACCACCATGTTCAATAAAGAGATGTGTACACCAAAAAGTCGTTGGCTTAGATGGCAAGAAGTTTGCTCCTCTCCCTATGGTAATTGGTTCATGCATTCTTAGATGAACATAATAGTAACACCGTCGGGAATATGGACATTTCAAGATGAGTGAAAAACGATTCAAGTCATTTAGGGGTGAGCAAAAGAACCGGCCGGATGGAGAATCATCCGAACGGGAAACCGGCTGGACCGGACCAAACTGGCCAATTTTGGGTGATTCCCAAGGGCATTGATTTGGTTCTCAGTTCTATATGTGAAACCGTCCATCCGGACCACATCGGATCAAATTATTGTACGAAAAAATTATTTTTTGTTGAGCGCACACACCTAGTCATGGCCACGGTTCAGGAACCGCCGGTTCCGGTTCGTGGCCATGTATGAACCGGCGGTTCCGGCCGGTTCCGGTTCGAAGGGGGAGGAGGAGAAAATGGGAGGAGGCGCAGGTAGCGAGGGGGAAGGAGGAGGGGGCGTCGGCGTAGGCGGCTGCGGCCATGGGCGGGGGCGACGGCGCCGACAGCGGCGGGGGTCAGATCTAGGAAGACGGGGGGCGGGCGGAGGAGAAAAGGGGAGGGGGAGGGCTTGTTGGAGGCGGAGCATGTGACGAAACGGGCGCCCGGGGCTCGCCGCACGGCCGAGGCGGCGGCGTCGGAAGGGCATCGGACGGGGCGTGCTCCGGCGAAGCGCGGCGGAGGCGGGCCTCCGGAGCCGCATTCGACGTGGCAAGGCCAGAGGCGGGAGCCGGGGAGCCTGTGGATGGGAAGAGAAACGGAAGCCATGGCCGCCATGGCTACTCTCTCAGCTCCTTCATCACTTTCGCACGCGAAGCAAACTTGCAGTTGCAGAGTGAAATCTGCTTTTTCCGTGCATATAGTTCAGATCTGGGAAGAAGATGACTCAAAAAAAAAAAAATTTGGAACCGGGCCCGTAGGTCACGGGCCGATTCCAGTTCCGAACCGCGGGCCCGATCAACAGGCCGGTCTCAGATTTGACCTGGGCCGGTTCCGAGCCAAAATCGATCCGTGGCCATGTCTACACACACCACTTGTTTCAATCTCCGAAAAAATCACCAAAAAGCAAAAGGCAAGAGACAAAAATAAAATAAAATAACTAAAGAAGAAAAAGGAAGCATAGAAAAATCATTTCTCTCTCTTTCTATCTTGTCCTTTTCCCCAAGCGACACTCACTAGTCACTTCAATCCTTTTTTTTTTTTTGTCGAAAGTCACTTCAATCCTTTACTCGCTTCTCTATCTCTCTCTTTATTATTCATTATTTAATTTTCATTAAATACCAGAAAATGATAGTTATTTAATAATTCTTCCTTATAATATATGTCTCTCTCGCAGAAGCAAAATCTTCATTGTGTCAGCTTTTTCTTCTATCAGATTTCTTTTGGGAGGTCGAATCTGTGCCGAAGATCTCTCTCTCTCCCACTCTCTCCTAAGCAAAATGGGGATAATCTGTTTCTCGCAGCGGTGGCTCTCATGTTGCGGAAGATGCTATGATCAAAAGGAATTCCCAAATCGTGCAATCACTTTTCCAGAAAAAGGACCTTTCGCTCGTGCCTAATGAGTTTACTGAGTTTTGGCAAGCTTAGTGAGTAAGTGGAGCGAATTGCATGAGATCAGAGCAGAATCGGTTCGCTCTCCAGTAGCAATCAGAACCGGCGAGTGAGCCTCCCTCCATTTTCTCACATTGTAGGTACGAGCAAAAAGAGTTGGGTGAGTGAGCCTCTCCTTTCTCTCAACATGCCACTGGTTCCATTAGCTCATCTGCGGTTTGATTCCAGGACCAGGTGGACTGGTTTCTTATTCTAGAAACGGGGAACCGGTTCCTTTGGACCGGTTTTCAGTTCGTGAGTGGAGTGTTGAGATTATCTCGTATCGTTTTTGGAAGGGGCCGATGGTTGATTTATAATTGTGAAGCAAAGTCTTACCATTTGAGCTAATTTTTAGGGTTAGAGAAGCTCAATATAACCTAACATTAGTATCAGAATTCAGGTTACCAATAAGTCGAGACCTAACAGTCACTCAAAAAAAGTTGTTGCGGCTCCGATCGAAGCCTGATGTGTGAGAGAAAGATTGTTAGGGTTTATCTCACATTTGTTGTGAAAAGAACTAGTAATCGATTTATAACTGTGAGGGAAGAATTTAGCTTTTGAGCTCGCTTTTGAAGTAAGAGAGGTTTAAGACCACTCAACTCCGTACCCCTACTGAGTACCACCAAAGAAAAAGGAAATCAGAAAGAAGGGGACGTGCACCAACCCTTCTTTGTGGGTGACCACACCATCCACTGGTCAAGCAAGAATGCTACAAAACCTTGCGATTACGGAAGACGAAATAACCTAGATTCCGTCTATCAATGGACAGTAGCTGGGGCTCTCGAGCCCATTAAGAGATGCCCCCTTTCACAGAAGGATATATAGCATGATATGGAGAACATACACGTAGGGACGAGTTGGATGACCTGGCATTCCATAAATAATCAGTACCGAGTTAGATGGGAATCTGACTTTCCATGCCATAAACATTTGTCATCCCTGTTTCCTCACGTTGCTCTTCTTTCTCTCCACATAAAGTTGGCCTCTTCTTCTTCTGCTTCTCCTCCATCGACCACCGAGCATCGATCCTAAAGCCAGTGGCGTCGCCTCAAGAACAGAGGAGGAAAGAACTATGGAGCATCGTTCACGCCCTCTAAACCTTTGCCATGTCAACCCAAAATCAATCATTATCAACCGCGCGCACATGCTCATCCATGGGACCGCTCTACTTATCCTTATACGCTACAGAGCTTCTTTCTTCTTCACTGAAGAAGCTAGCTCACCAAACCAGCCCACCACTTTGGCTTGGCTCATTATTTTCCTGGGCGAGCTGACGCTGTCCCTCACGTGGTTGCTCCACCAAGCCTTCCGATGGCGACCCGTGTCGCGGACCGCCTTTCCCGAGAGGTTGCCCGGCGACGGGGAGCTCCCATCGATAGACGTGTTGGTGTGCACGGCTGACCCCGACAAGGAGCCCACCGTGGAGGTGATGAACACGGTGATATCGGCGATGGCGCTTGACTATCCACCGGAGAAGCTCCACGTGTACATCTCGGACGACGGCGGCTCGCCGCTCACGCTGCACGGGATGAGGGAGGCGTACGATTTCGCGAGACGGTGGCTGCCGTTTTGCAAGAGGTATGGAATAAAGACGAGGTGTCCCAAGGCTTATTTCATGAATGAAGAGGATGTGAGCACTGGCGTAGGGTATGACTCCGAGAAGCAGGAGGTCAAGGTTCGTTTCGTTCGGTGATTTCATTTTAGTTTTTGCAAACGTTGTATACTTCATCTTCTTTATTTTCCATTAATGCAAATTCTCTCACGTAGTCGGCATTATTCAGGCATTGAAGCTTGCATCAGACGTCCTCCATCCGTTCATCGTGCTGTTAGATTTGAGCGATCTGTCCACAGAAAACACAATATCAAAGAACAAGAAAATTGTTTTCTAGAAAATATTTTCCTCTATCCATTCACCGTACGTCCTCCATCCGTTCGTCGCCAATTTATTTCGCAAAAAATAAATGATTTGAAAAACATTTTCCTAAAAATATTCGCTTGTATCGTGTAATAAATGAAATATATTTTTATTGTCCACGAAAATATCGAAATGTAATTTGTTGTCAATAATGAAAACATTTCTCGTTGACTAATTATTTCAATCGATACAAGCGATTATTTTTCAGAAAATATTTTTCAAATGATCTATTTACCGCGATACAAACGAAGCCTATAATTCTCTTTTTCTTTGATATTGTGTTTTTAGTGGACAAAAGTAACTCGAGCGATGTGTTTCTTCCGCCATTTGAAGACTTTAATTGCCTATTGTCTCTCCAACCCTCGAATCAATAGTGAATACGATAGCCCGTAAAATTTTTCTATATACTAATGTATTTCATAGTTAATCAAAAAACATAACCTCTCGTCTCTCGTCTCTCCCTCCCTCTCTCCCGCTTCACGCCCCATGCCCAAGACGCTCTCCGACGGCACACTCCCTACCGCCTCCGGCATAGCTGTAAGACCCAGCTACTTAAGTACTTGATCAAAATACATCATATCTATATAGAATTTTACTAAATTTTGGTACCCCTAGAATTTCTGTTGCTACTGTTGTCATTAACGCATATTTCTTGGTTCAAAGCAGACCTAATTAATGGATTCGGTTGGATACTAGGCCGTAAAGTACTTGCTTAGACTCGCCCCCGGACTTGAAAATTTTAAATTTTCTCCGTGAACTGGCTATGTTTAGACAGGTTCAAGCGGGACTTTTGGGTCGGAAAATCGAAGTACCATTCCGGGACAGGAAACCTTCGCAACAAAGTCCAATTAGTGACAACTCTCCAATTTGAAAGGAACCAACGAAGGGTGTATGTCTATTAAAGTGATGTAACTTCATTATTTACATATTTGCAGGAGAAGTATGAATTGTTCGAGGCGCATATAAATGGATACAGACTCAGGCACCATGGTGAATCAAGGGATGGGAGGCTAGATCATCCGTCTATCATTGAGGTACATCACCGAACTTGGAGGAGTACATGTTTGCCCATGACTTTCAATTGTTACACGTTATCCCCCGTGAACTTTCATTTTGTTACCATCGGCTAACCTTCGATATTTTCCGTTAGCATGTGTAATGTACATGACTTTTAAGAGATAAATGTGTATTTTCATCGTTCTTGACGAGCGAAAGAAAAAGCTCCAGTCAAGACTTCTGTTTAAGAGACATAAGAAATCGGAATTATTTTGCAGGTGATGCATGGAAATTCCGCTGACGAAGTTGTTCAAGCTGACCAACAACAAATGCCTCTGCTTGTTTACGTCTCCAGGGAAAAAAGGCCTTCTCACCCTCATAACTTCAAAGCTGGAGCTCTCAATGTTCTGGTATGCTATTCAAGTTTCACATTTTCATTTAGGAGAGAACAGCATAAATACATATAAACTGTACTTGTATTATTGATTACGCTACTCGATATTGCTCCTCCATTACAGCTTCGCGTGTCGGGGGTGATAAGCAACTCGCCATACATATTAGTGCTGGACTGTGACATGTACTGCAACGACCCGTCCTCGGCAAGGCGGGCAATGTGCTTCCACTTGGACCCGAAAATGTCTCCGTCACTTTCGTTCGTTCAATTTCCTCAAATGTTCCATAATATCAGCAAGAACGACATCTACGACAGTAAAATCAGATTGCCATTTGGGGTGAGAGAAAAGACTATAATCGTAATCAAATTTTTTATTATGCGTTTACTAATTCCTCAGCCTTATGGAGCAAATTGAACATGCGAAATATTTTTGATGAATCCATTTTTAACCGATAACTTTGGTTTTCTTTCAGACATTATGGTATGGAATGGACGGGTTAGAAGGACCTTTATTATCTGGTACTGGCTTTTATGTTAAGAGAGAGTCCTTGTATAGCAAACCCATGCAAGAAGGTAAGTCAAAATAGGCACATATTAAGTGAGAGCCCTTGTACAGCAAATCCATGCAATGTAATTAACTGCTTCTCTTGCTGATTGGAAAGGTACTTCAACTAATCTCATGGATTTAAAAGAAACCTTTGGCCATTCGAATGAGTTTATCAAACATCTTCAGCGGAGCGACAAGCTTAACAAGAACACTCTCAGCGACCCGGGAGCGGTCTACAGAGAAGCCAAACTTTTAGCTTCTTGTCGTTATGAAAATGGAACGAAATGGGGTCAAGAGGCAAGTACAATCAAAAGAAACATAATAACCAAAACCCTCGTCATTTGCGGCAATTGGTGACTCCATTTCCTTTTTATTTAACTCATGGTCGCTCTTATCCAGATCGGTTTCATGTATGGATCTGTGGCTGAAGACTTCTTCACCAGCTTAACCTTACACTGCAAGGGATGGAAATCGGCGTACTGTTGCCCATCGCGGCCGCAATTTTTGGGGGCGTCCACGACGAATTTGAATGACCTTATGGTTCAAGTCACGAGATGGAGTTCCGGGTTGGCTGAGGTCGCGTTCTCCAGATTTTCTCCTCTGATATATGGACCATGGAGGATGAGCATTCTACAGAGCATGTGTTATGCTGAGATGGCATTTTTCCCACTCTACTGCTTGCCTCTCTGCTGCTTTGCCACCATTCCGCAGATATGCCTATTCAATGGCATCCCCATTTTCCCAGAGGTAAGCTATTCTCATTTGTAAGTTTGTACTTCTCATTAATCAATCAAGTCTTTCATGGAGTCGAATTCAAGTAGCATATGGTCTTGAACATCAATGGTTTTGGCATGTCAGGTTTCGAGCTCACTATTCCTCGTGTATTCCTTCGTTTTCCTATCTTCACTTTCCAAGCATCTCTATGAAGTCGTCCAATGCGGTCACTCGGTTCGGACGTTCATAAACGAGCAACGGATATGGATAATCCACTCGGTAACCAGTTACTTATACGGAAGCATAAATGCAATTCTGACGAAAACTGGTGTGAGGAGAGCGAGCTTCTTGCCTACTAATAAGGTCGCCGATGACGAGCAAACGGAGAAGTACGAAAAGGGTGTGTTCGATTTCCGAACGTCGATCGTGTTTTTGGCCCCGATGGTGGCTCTAGTGATGTTGAACATGGTTTCCGTCGTTGTCGGAATCACTAGGGTGCTTGTTTTGGGAGGTTGGGACAAATTGTTTGCGCAGATTGCTCTGTCGTTCTTCATCTTAGTGATGGGCCACCCTGTGACCGAAGGGATGGTAAGGACGGATGAAGGACGCATTCCATTGTCAGCCGTTTCTCGTTCAGCTCTACTTTCCTTGGCATTGCTGTTGTTGGGTTCAGCTCTTCTTATGTACTGAGTGATTTATGGATGACACGCAAGTCACTCTTGGTATTAGGGCTCACAATTCGTATGGACATGCATGTCCTAATTACGATAATAATTCAAATTTGTGTAGACCTAACAATAAATTGATTTTGATTTTATATGCCGAATAATTGAGGTACGATGAGAACATGTTGATTCATGTGAATTAGTGTTAACATATAAAGTTAGGCGTGTCGAGTCGTGTCATATTCGAGTTTTCGTTTTGTACTTTATTTTTACCTTGGGACACGTTTTTATTGTGCAAATGAGTCATGTCCAACGTTATCAGCTCCGGTTGTTCTATTATGGATTAATTTAATGCCACAAATTTGTCTAGTCTATTTCCAAATTTCTTTTTTTTCGAAGAGTGGTTGTGGGAAGCCTTCTCCATTCTCAATCTATTATTTCCATTTTCTTAATGTTTTTAGGTAAAACTTGAGAGATTCCAAGCCACTTCTAATGAAATCAGCAACTTTTTGGTGGAGCAAGAATCGCACAAATTGGAGATTACATCATAGACAAAGCGTGGTCAGGATTCAATCAAATCATATAAGCTGCAATAGTGATACAATATAAAAAGTTTAGAGGTTGTCACTACATAAATTCTGAATTTAGTAACATAATGAAAATAGTAATGTAGCATTATAATAAGAAAACTTTATGGTCTTAAAACATTTTACCTAAGCATTTAATAAGAGTCTATGTATTAATATGTAATCCAATTTATAAACTACGTTTTTGTATTTTTATCATTATTCAAATGAAATGAACCCTAAAACATGGTGTCAACTAAAGTATCTACCTTCACATAACCGAAATCGAAACTCCATGTATCATAGAGACAGAAAAAGAGGGAGAAAATAAGGAAAAATTCCTAGAATAACTTTATGTGATAACTCAGCGGTGCACTACGATGAAGACCCCAAGGATATTTCTAAGTAACTTCTAAGTAAAGACCTACCTAAAGTACATGGCTCAAAATATACCTATAGTTTGACTAGAACACTTGATCAATTGGTGGCACCATATTAACAAGTCGCATAATGTCAATGTGCAGCATGATAGGATCATATATTTCTATTATAATGTAAAGTTGGCTCTACAATAAAGAAAGTTTGAACCATAGGAGTCTTATTTTACCGTAATCAGTTAGATTTCAAAATTTTTTGATCTTTATAGTGCGTAAGAATCTTATGATGGTTTACTCATTATTAAATGTCTGATAAAGGGACTATTCTATGATGGGTGTGATGGGTGTCCACGTTAAGTGCTGAAGACGCCATTTAACAAAGGCCCCCTTTTAATCAAGAATAAGGTATAGACCAAGACTTTTGAGCCAGCTTAAACTTTCATAAAAGGAATATGGTTAATTATGAGAAATGCTTGGAGAGTGGTAAGTGACTGTACCCTCTTGACTATACATGCCCAAGTGTATGTGGTCATGCGGCCATTTTTCAATATTTTTAAAATAGATTGTCAATTTGAAAAATCATTCATTTTGGAATGTGTGTGATCAGGAGGGTACTTTCACTTCGTGGAAAGTGATAGTACCGTCTTCTAAGCATTGCCCATTAATTATCCCGGTGTATATGACATCTCCATTATTATATGTGTTAATACTACACACACATATATATACATATATATATGTATGTATGTATATTGTGCTGTCTAGATCATCGCTTGATGATGCGTTGTAATAATGACATTCTCCATTTTTCTAAAAAAATTGATGTGACAAATGTTATTTATGCAACTCTTACCTTGTCATAGATGCTTTTCTTAGAAGGAAAAATGACTCAAACAATCCATGCATGTTGGCCCAATGTGCAACGAAATCCCTGAACTTTTAATTTGTTCAATGTGGTCCCTGAAATTTCACCTAACGTGTAATGTGGTCTCTGAACTTTTAATTTATTCAATGTGGTCCATGAACTTTTAGTTCATTTAACATGTACCAAAAGTCTAGAGATCACATTGAACATTATGCTAAAGTATAGGAACTATATTGAACAAATTAAAAGTTTAGAGACAATATTGTATATTGAGCTAAAGTTTAGGGACTATTTGCATCATAATCCCTTTTGATAATGATAAGATCCAAAGTAGATGTCAATCTACGCTCGAGTGAATTAATGTTTCTTAAACTGATTGATCCCATAAAGATCATCCAATCAAAGTCCACGAACATGAGTCATTAGGATAGCACTCATTAGGTTGTTATTTTATACATCGAAATCCCGGGTTAATTCCAAAAAAAAGCACCAACTTTAGGTCGAGGGACAATTTTGGCCAAAACTTTTTTTTGTTCCATAAAAAAGCATCAACTTTAGGTCGAGGGACAATTATGGCCCGAACTTTTTTTTGTCCCGTAACAAAGCACCAACTTTAGGTCGAGGGACAATTCTGGCCCGAACTTTTTTTTGTCTCGTAAAAAAGCACCAACTTTCACTTAAATCCCAAATCTGGCCCTTATTGACTTAAAACCATTGATTTTCCAACTTGACTATTCCACCTTAGTAATAAATCCACGTGACTTGCTGACTGGATTAAAAGCATTATTCATTGTCTTATTCTCTGAACCACAGCTTGAAGAATAACGGTGAAACTGTTCGTCTCCTTCACTTCACTGGCAAGTCAAAAATATCTCCAGATTGAATCTTTCTGGCCAAACTTCGTCGTTTTGTCGTAATTTGAAGTTGTAGACCACCGCCCGTCGACAGACGCCATGGAAGAGATTCGCCAGGCTCACCACCATAACTTTTTTTCTCAAACAATGGTAACTTCATACAGAAAGTCAATGGGAGGCCAAATTTGGGATTTAAATGAAAGTTGGTGCTTTTTTACGAGACAAAAAAAAGTTCGGGCCAGAATTGTCCATCGACCTAAAGTTGGTGCTTTTTTATGGGACAGAAAAAGTTCGGGCTAGAATTGTCCCTCGACCTAAAGTTGGTGCTTTTTTATGGAACAAAAAAAAGTTCGGGCCAGAATTGTCTCTCGACCTAAAGTTAGTGCTTTTTTTTGGAATTAACCCTCGAAATCCCCAGTCCACCCATTGTAAACTAAAAGCGTGTACATAATGACTCCTACTTTTCGAGCTTCCATTTTTTTCTTTTTTTTTTTCAAATGATGGTGGGCATGCGTAAAAAATTGCACAATGTCTCAATATCGACTCGGGTGATCATATATCGCTTCCTCTCAGAATTTTTAGAATTCGAGGGAAAATTCGATACTCCAACAAGAAAGTTAAAAAAGTTAGTTTATGAGATTTCATAATTTGCGATAAGCAAATCAATTTATCATGAAACAACCATCGAGAAGCAAATTGCTCAGAAATTCGTCAAGGCCTTATGGCGCATAAGATTAGAGTGATGAGTAAATATGAGTAATTTGCTGAAGATACATAACTTTTCTCCGGTAATTACACAACTTTTGAGGGACCTCCCTTTGACCCAATATAGCTGCGTCCATAATTTTTATAAATTGCTTTTGAGGACGCTTTGCAATAGAAACAAAAAAAGAAAAACCTTTTTATTTATTATTATTTTTGCCGATTATGAAATGTCTCAAATTGGTCCTTTAACTAATTTCCATGACGTCAAAAACTTTTCAGTTGACTTTCTCTGCCATTCAATTTTGAAAGGGAAATGACCGGTCACTCCGGGGGGAGCAGCTGTCTCCTCACCTTTGATTGGTAAGTCATGCACAATTAGCTCCTTCATACTCAAATAAATAAAATAAAATTATAACCTGCTAAACATAAAGTAAATTTTACGCGAGCGGCCTCATCTATTCTTGATCGGAAGGCTATAACCGTCCTCTCTCTTCAGATCAACAGGATAAGACTCGGCTTGTGTAAATTCTTTTCTAAACTGGGAAACGAGATCGGCTATCAGAATCGCAGGAATTGGTAACTCTCTATCTCCTTGTTTGCCTGATATCGGCGATGCCCATCTCGAAATATATACATTTAAATTCCTCTAAATTCGTTCGGTTTGAATAGACGATAAACATACTTTAAGGTATAGTAGAATATACATCCCGTTTCTTGCTCGGCTGAACCGACCAACGTGTCATCCAAATTCAAATCCAAATCCAAATCCAAATCCTACGTTTGCAATTGCTTGCGCTTGTGCATAACCACGCACCGGTGGTGGAGTAAATCATCGGGCTCCTTAAAGAGAATTAGATGATAGAAATTCGAAAAAAAGATCGTACCCAAAAAACAAATAACAATTTTGAAAAAAGAGAACTCATCCTGAATGAAGGGCGGCAGAATCGGTATTTCAGGTCATGGGGAAGATCCTATATATGCGGTGGGGAGGCGGGGCGTCTTCAACCTCGTCCTGCTTCCCACGCACCATTCGCAGCGCTACTCCATGTCTGCGCACTGCCGCAAGAAGTCCCGTCAGGATTCCGCCATTAATGTGCAGAAGCACCTGGAAACGGAGGGCCTACAGTGATCTGCTGGTGTAGCGTCCTTTCGGCCAGAATAGAAAGATACGAACCCGTGAAAGACGCCGCGAAGCTTCGTCCAGGCGATCCAGGAAGCTTCGTCCGAGTGATCCAGGTCTCTCTCTCTCTCTTTCTCTGTCTGTCCGTGTGTTTTCTTGCTGTTTTCATCAGTTTCCCCGAAAACGTACGTAGAAGAAGGAGAGCGAGAGTCGAAAGAAAAAGAAAGAAAACGGAAAAACATCCCGCGTTTAGATATCGCTTGTATGTTGGCTTATTTCTTTTTTTGTACACAAAAGGTAGAAAACTAAGTACAATGAAGTCTAAAGGTCTACGATCCTGACTTTGTCACTAAGCAAAACATGAGATGATTCTCTGGGAGGCTGCAAGTAGAGTGTAGTATCCAAAGTTTGCAGTTACAGGCACATTAATTCTCGATCTTTAGATCACTGGAAGATATACTGAATAACTATAACTCGATTTGACATTTCGTATCAGATAAGAGACTTTAAGCCCAGATAAGGATAAGGGGTTATGATCTTATTGAGATTGTATTTCCTTTTTTTTACGCGTTCTTATCCTTTTTTTTTTTCTCGAGGTAGAGGCGGGTGTGTGTTAAATTCAAGGCGTCAATCAAGCAAAGCTCTATTCAATTCTAGCAAAACTAGAGGGGGTGTGGTTCAGCCGTGTAGTCTAAGTGGACAGCCCAGGAAGTCAAGCAGCACTTATTTTCGGATTCTCTTATGAATCTACCCAAAAAAGATTTCCCAAAATACAAAAGGCGCGGGGCCATATCCGTCTCGTGGCCGTACATGCGACCGGATACATTCGAATAGTCCGAATCTAGCAGAATTTGAATTCTTCTCATACAAGACCTATCAAATTCAGACCCATCATCGGTGCATTCGATCTCGGGTGTGTTTTCCGGGAAGCATGCACAGTACCATCTTCGAGTGACTTTTCCAAGATCAAAGAAAATGTCACAGGGTCAACTATACCCACATCTCGCATGTAAACTGGACCAACTGGGGGGCACGAGCTGCTTGTTCGATCCCTTAGAAAAAGTCCTCTGAGAAATCCACATCCCATGATGCAATAGGAAAGTCGCAGGTTACGACGTCGTCAATGTCTCTGGCCTCAAGCCGTGATGGTTATTTCCTTTTTGTCTTTATCTATTTTTTGGTACTAAGATGCCCGTTTGACTTTTCCTTAAGTAAAAAACATAACCGGCACATAACATCGCATTCATTTCGACTGTTCTCGCATGCCACGTTCGGCTACACCATGCAAGAAAAGGCCCTGCCACGTCGGCACGTGAATTGCCCCCATTCATTCATTCCCAGTTTATTTACATTGTAATTTATAAGAGATAAACAAAAATTGGGCCCTTTTCAGCAAGTTAAGCCGTGATCAAGTCATCCATATCACCTTAGTCCAAAAAGGGTCATCTTTAGATTTTCCCCAATTCGCTAAAAAATTCCATCTTTAACTCTTCCTTGTTAAAGGTAACAGTAGCCTTAATACCATATGTGTTGTGCCTTCCTAGTTATGAGCTTACTTGGCGCTGACATGCGATTTGGGACGGCTTTGCGTTCTTTGACGAACCCTCCCTCCCTCCATAAATTCTTGAGATCTTACGTCGGGGATTCGGGCGGTGCTCGCACGCTTAAGCGCATGAGATCGGTCAGCAGATTTTGGGTTTCTGCAGGTGGGTCGGGGAGAGGAGAAGCGACGGGCGAAGGGCGACGGGCGGGGGGAAGGAGGAATGGCGACGAACGGGACGGGCGCGGCGACCTCGTGCCCCGCGGCGATGAAGGCGACCTCGAACGGGGTGTTCCAAGGCGACAACCCGCTGGACTTCGCGCTTCCGCTCGCGATACTGCAGATATGCCTCGTCGTCTTGGTCACCCGCCTCCTGGCTTTACTTCTCAGGCCGCTCAGGCAGCCCCGCGTCATTGCTGAGATTGTGGTACGTACGATCTGTGCGGTGGAGTCTTCCTCTGTTGTGGGTTTTTTTTCTCGTTCTGCTTTCGTTTTGCTTTCGTTTTCGAGACTTTCTCCATGAAGGGTACTTCGCTTGTTTTGCTTCGGAATCACAGCGTGAGATTTGATCCTGTTTGGTTTAACGAATGCGGTTGCTCACTCTGTGCGGTGGAGTCTTCCTCTGTTTTTTCTTTTTTTTCTTGTTCTGCTTTCGTTTTCGAGAATTTCTCCATGAAGGGTACTTCGCTTATAAAGAAAATTGAAAACTTTGGCTTGGTTTGCTTCGGAATCACAGCGCGAGGGTTGATCCTGTTTGGTTTAACGAATGTGGTTGCGGCTTAACGGCTTTGAATTATGTTTAATCTGGTGAGAATTTGGGTAGAAATCTTTTTCAATCTGGAGAAAGAAGATGATTAGTGCTGGATTAATTTGATATGAACACCGGAAGGATGCTGGTAGTGTCGAAGCGGGTGGCTTCGATTAAGGCGTCTGGCTATCGTTTGGTACTGATTAAGAGGACTAGTTAGATCATGTTAGGGGTTCGTTTTGACCCTGGAATTGGGAAGCGTTATGAACACTGCTAAGTGCTGTGCTGTGATAAATTCCCAAGAGATTCTGAAAGTGAAGCATGGTGTTGTTATTCATGAAAGTCGCGAGATTTGTTTAAAGTAATCGAAGGCACTGAACAAGTAATTTCGTTTTCGTGTCTTGTTGTGCTTATGGTAGGGAGGGATACTGCTCGGTCCTTCGGCGCTGGGTCGGAATCACCACTACCTCCAGAGAATTTTCCCGGCGAGAAGTCTCACGGTGCTGGACACACTGGCCAACCTGGGCCTCCTCTTCTTCCTCTTCCTCGTGGGCCTCGAGCTTGACCCAAAGTCGCTCCGCCGGACGGGCAAGAAAGCCATGAGCATCGCGGCGGCTGGTATTACCCTCCCGTTCGCTTTGGGAATCGGCACATCTTTCGTCCTCCGAGGGACGATTTCCAAAGGGGTGGATGGACCGCCTTTTCTCGTGTTCATGGGGGTCGCGCTTTCCATCACGGCGTTCCCGGTTTTGGCGCGTATCCTGGCTGAGCTCAAGCTTCTGACGACCGACATCGGCCGGATGGCAATGTCAGCGGCAGCCGTCAACGATGTAGCTGCGTGGGTTCTGCTTGCCCTGGCAATTGCCCTTTCAGGAACCGGCCGTTCTCCCCTTGTTTCTCTATGGGTCTTCTTGTGCGGCATCGCGTTCGTCCTTGGCTGCATATTCTTAGTCCCGCCTATTTTCAGGTGGATGGCAAAGCGATGCCCTGAGGGTGAGCCAGTTGACGAGATGTACGTATGTGCTACCTTGGCAGGCGTTTTAGCCGCAGGTTTCATGACTGATTTTATTGGGATTCACGCCCTTTTTGGCGCTTTCGTGATCGGGGTTCTTGTCCCGAAAGAGGGGCCATTTGCTGGAGCACTAGTTGAGAAAGTTGAGGATCTCATTTCGGGTCTGTTCCTTCCGCTCTACTTTGTATCGAGTGGTCTGAAGACAGACATAGCAACGATCCGGGGTGCACATTCATGGGGTCTCCTTGTTTTGGTTATATGCACGGCCTGTTTCGGCAAGATTGTGGGCACATTGGTCGTGACCCTTTCGTTCAAAGTCCCCTTTAAGGAGGCTCTAGCTCTGGGGTTCCTGATGAACACTAAAGGATTGGTGGAGCTCATCGTCCTCAATATCGGAAAAGACAGGAAGGTAAGATCAATCTTTTCATTTCGTTCGATCTTATTCTAGATTTTGACTGGGTTAAAGCTATTCCCTTGACTGTTCTGCTGTTACAAAATCGATACGGCAGGTACTGAATGATCAAACATTCGCCATTATGGTCCTGATGGCCGTGTTCACGACCTTCATCACGACGCCCCTAGTATTGGCAGTATACAAGCCTGCTCAGATGAGAAGCAAAGGCACTTACAAGCACAGAACGATCGAGAGGAAAAATCCCAAGACGCAGCTCCGTATCTTGGCCTGCTTCCACAGCATCAGGAATATCCCTACGTTCATCAACCTCATCGAGGCCTCGCGTGGCACGGAGAAGAGGGAAGGGCTCTGCGTCTATGCCATGCACCTCATGGAGCTCTCCGAGAGGTCATCTGCGATTCTCATGGTCCACAAGGTGCGAAAGAACGGTCTTCCCTTCTGGAACAAGGGGCAAGACCCTGATAACCAGATTGTGGTGGCTTTCGAAGCTTTCCGGCAGCTCAGCCATGTGTTGATCCGCCCAATGACTGCGATTTCCACGTTGTCCACCATACACGAGGATATCTGTGCCAGTGCTGAAAGGAAAACGGCAGCCATTATAATTCTGCCGTTCCACAAGCACCAGAGGCTTGATGGGGTGATGGAGATGACAAGGAACGAATTTCGGTTCGTCAACAAGAGGGTTCTCGAGCATGCTCCGTGCTCAGTCGGGATCTTAGTGGACCGTGGGCTTGGAGGAGGCTCCCACGTGCCAGCAAGCAACGTTTCCTCGACCATCACTGTCCTGTTCTTTGGGGGCCAAGATGATTGTGAAGCTCTGGCTTATGGCAAGCGTATGGCAGAGCATCCTGGGATTAGTCTATCGGTGGTCCGGTTCGTAGTGAGCCCTGAGATTGCCGGGGAAATTGTCAGAGTCAGCATCAATGACAAGGCTTCTTCCCACACCAAGTCAGTGTCGGGGGACGAGATGTTCCTCGCTGAAGTTAAGAGTACGGAGGAGGATTCTATTAAATATGAAGAGAGACGAGTAAAAACTCCTGAAGAAGTTATCGACGTGATCAAGGAATTTAGCCGCTGCAATCTATTTTTGGTCGGTCGGAGGCATGAGGGCCAGATAGCCGCGGCGATGAACACGAAGGGCGACACCCCAGAACTGGGGCCAGTCGGTAGCTTACTGTCTTCATCTGAGTTCTCTACTTCAGCTTCGGTCTTGGTGGTTCAGCAATATGCAGGCCCGATTTCTCTCAACTCAGAGTCGGTGTGAAAGGTCGAATCGGCACCTGGAGAAGACTTGGAAGCCAATTGATTTGGTTAGGCTGTCCGGTAACTGGATCTGAAGGTAATGTAAGCGTGTAATAAGAGATCATGATGGAAACATTTGTAGGAAGTTCGAACTGATCGGTTTCATTCCATATGTCTTCTGGTAATCAATTACCTTAGGTTGAGATTTGTTGCATTTTGACTTGAATTTTGTGAACACACAATTGTCAGCCCACTAAATAACCACACCGTCCATTAATACTACTACTGTTTCAATAAAATGTGCAAAAGGCGCACCGTCCATACTCTTCTTGATGATCCGGTGAAACATCTCCTTCTCAGCCCGTGGTTGTAGGCGCACTGTTGAACAACGTAAGTTCGTGTATCGCTATCCTTCGCTTTATTGCCTGTTTCATATCTCAATAATCACTTATTTGCCCGCGATCGCGCGTCCCGTGCCCACGAACAAAACTTGTAGCATTGCACCTATAATTGGCTGAAGGGAGAGAGAGAACAGACGAAGTAAAGAGAAGGAGGAAACTTCATAAACAAATGAATTCTGCATTATTATAATGACTGTTGATGAAATATGTCATGAAGAAACTGAAAGTAGAAGTAGATAAATTGATGTGGTCTTTGGGTTGGATCTATCATAATGACGTCAGCAGTAGTAAGTCAACTTCCACTTTATTTTTCACCTTTTTAATTTTTGGGCCAATAATTTTGTTTGATCGGATAATGGGAAGTCCTAATATACTCGACGTTTACGGTGTCAATGATTTAATTGCTTAAGTAAGGGTCACGTTAACGAGTATTTTTAGGCGCTTTAGCCTTGCAAGTTAAGGAAATGTTTTCATTTTCGATGATAAATTGAGCGGGATTATTATATTCTCTTTCCCTATATGAGTATGTATCAAGATATATGAAGGTGCTAAACGGCTATGCTTTTGTTTATTTGGCAGACTTGCTCTGTAAAACAGTTGACTTTGTACGAAAAGGATGATAACTTAGGATGGAGCGTTTTTATTAAAGAAATTGTACAGCTTGCTTTCACTTACTTGTCCAGTGAGTAGCTTGAGGAGCAACTCATTGGAAAGACAGTTGGCCACATGCAAATGCTTGGGACATAATCAAAATTGATTTGGAAAAGATTCGGTCAACCTTACAAAAACCTTGGGGTTCATTGATTTGAACGAAAAATTATTTTCGAGAAATTATTTTTCGACTTTACGGTATTTGGATAATATTTTTCATAGACTGTAAACAAGAAGTTTAGATTATGAAAAAGCAATTTCCCTTTCTAATAAGAAGGAAATCACTTTCCTTAAACCACCAAATAAATGAAACCTAGAAAAATGATTTCTATTAAAAATATTTTCTTTTGTCACGAAGTTTTTAGTAAAACAAATACACCCTCGCATGGAATATAATTTCCTTCATCATGAAGTTTTTAGTGATGAAGGATGTGTTTCTTTTGAGAAAAAAGTTCATGATAAAGAAAAATATATTTTGAGAAATTATTTTCCTGAAAAATGGTTTCCCTTTTTCAAGCTAGGGGATTCATTTTCCTGATTTCAAGCATGCATATTTTCCTTGATCGTATATGACTTTTCGTTAACTGATCATTTTCGGAAAAACAAATGCAGGAAAGTTCAGAAAATTCTTTCACCCAAACAAACACCCTCCAATACTTTCGACAAATGGTTGATTATTCTTTAAATGTTGTGCAATACCAGTTCCCTGAATTTTGGTTCTTCCCTCGAACGAGTGTTGGGCTTGCATTATCAGCCCAAATCATTGGCCATGCAAGGTATGGTCAACCGATATCCCATGGATGACCCTTTTGAAATGTGAAGTTGTCATATCGGTTGACCATACCTTTGCGATGCCCACCGAGGGAGCAGAGTCTTATATTTAGCGCACCACCCTTTTGACTAGCTCCGTCCTGCACCTTAATATCTTATACTATACAAGTACGATGCACACAGATTTTTTATGTTCAAACGGCCGGAGATGAATCCAACTTCACGAAGTATGCTGCACACACAATGACAAATACCTTGTAAGACGAAGTGCAACAATGCCTCCAAAGAGCCTTACCAAAAAAAAAAACAATGCCTCCAAAGACATGTCGCTCAATCTCTATATAAACTAAAGTGAGACCTCACTAATGTGCATCAACAAGCTGTCTTGAAGAACTCGCACGCACAATCCATCGAACATTTTCACCATGAGGAACATTTTGCACTCTTTCTTCATCATTCTCGTCCTCCTCTTCACGTTCCAACACGCCTTTGAATCCAAGGCAACGTTCAACGAGGACAGACCTTGCAAGAGATTCGTCCTCTTCTTGCACGACAAGCTCTTCAACAGGACCGATGCAGCCAATGCGACGTTGGCTGCGGTCACAGAGAAGATCGTCGGATTCGGCGACTTCTTCTTCGGGAAGATGGTCGTATTCAATGACCCGATGACAAGGGGCCCCGTGTTCCATTCACCCCCAGTCACTCGAGCTCAGGGGTTCTGTATCTAGGACTTGAAGACCTTCTACAATGTGTGGTTTGGGTTCAGCTTGGTGTTCAATTCGACCGAGCACCGGGGCACGCTGAACATAATGGGCGTCAACATTGTAGCGGACAAGGTTAGGTTTTTCTTGGTCGTTGGCGGCACCGAAGACTTTTTCATGACAAGAGGGATCATCGCGGCGGAGTTGGATTCTTTCGAAGGACTTGATTATTTTAGTTTGAAGATGGATATTAAGTTATACGAATGCTATTAGGTCCTAGTGCTAAATTTTTAGAGTGCTTTTATTTGTGCTATCGCATGTCATATGATAGAATTTGTTAAGATCTCAGGCCAGCCCAAGTGAGAACTTGTATTTCTTGCGGGAATAAGGGATTTCATTGTGGTGACAATTCATCATAAGATTTATCTACTCATTTTGGACCTCATTGGTTCTTTAGTTGTATATTTACAATGCCGTGATAGCTATATGTACTTTTTACCATTGACCAACTGTTACTGAAGCTTTTGCTTCTATTCAATACATAATGACCAAAGCTAACTTTGGTTGGTTAATTCGATTGGCTCATCGATGGCCATCATGTATTATGGTCCTAATGATGATCCTACACACATTTTGTGTGCATTTCAATGGGGGTTTTAAAACACCTTGCGAATTAACTTGGATTATAGGTGTGATTCTGGCCCCATAGCTACTTGTACTAAAAAGCAAGCAAACGTGATTCCTCCTAGACAATAAATATGTTGACATGAGGAGGAACATATTTATTAGTTATATCATCTACAGTCGCTTGAATTTTGAGATGTTTTTCGAATCAATTATAGACTTTATTGAGATAGGTAAACCAATAATAGTCGCCATTTGAGAACTATATTTGAGGAATTCATCTTGTACAGCTTAAACAAAAATCGAAAATATTGCTTTCGTTTCAAGGGATATAGAGTACAAAGGTCGAAACTTCATCATCAGTCCTTTCTAACTTCTCAAAAGATACGAACTAATAAAAATACAAAAGCTCTTATTTGTGTTCATAATGCCAAAATATCAAGTCGGCTCAATCGTGTTTATGTTGATCCTTACGGGCATCTTGAATTTTCTATTTACGTACTTCTCCACTTTGATTTGTAATTTTTATTTATTTTTGTGTGTGTAATGCAACTTTACTCTTCTTTTCTTTATTATTGATGGGAGTTCCCTCGTTAAGACCCTATGAATTGATTGAAACTAGTCATGGCCACGGTTCAGGAACCGCCGGTTCCGGTTCGTGGCCACGTATGAACCAGTGGTTCCGGGCCGGTTCCGGTTCCGGTTCGTAATTTAAAAATTAATAAAATAAATTATAAAATAAAAATTGTAGGCCTGGTCCTCCGTCGGACGTCGCTCGGGCTTCGCGGCCTTGGCCACGGTGGCGGAGGCTGGGTTCAAGGCGGCGAGGAGATGAAGCGGGAGACGGGGGCGGCGGCGAGGGGGAGAAGGAGGGGGCCGGGAGGGGGACGGGGACGGGGACGGGGAGGAGGAGCGGGGGTCCTCCTCCTCCGGGTGGGAGGAGGGGAGGAGGAGGGGGCGTCGGCGTCGGCAGCTGCGGCCATGGGCGGCGGCGGCGGTGGCGAGGGTCAGATCTGGGGAGACGGGGGGTGGGCGGAGGAGAAAAGGGGAGGAGGCGCAGGGTAGCGAGGGGGAAGGAGGAGGGGGCGTCGGCGTCGGCGGCTGCGGCCATGGGCGGGGGCGACGGTGGCGACGGCGGCGGGGGTAGATCCGGGAAGACAGGGGGCGGGCGAAGGAGAAGAAGAAGAAGGAGATGGAGAGCACGTGAGAGAGAGAGAGAGAGAGAGTGTGAGAGAGAGAGAGACATCAATGTAATGTGCAGCAGTTTTTTTTTTTTTGGAACCGGGCCCGTAGGCCACGGGCCGGTTCCGGTTCCGAACCGCGGGCGCATCAACGGGCGGTCCGGGTTTGACCCAGCCGGTTCCGGGCCAAAACCGGCCCGTGGCCATGACTAATTGGAACCTTAGATTCATACTAGAACCGCAATGATGAATAAAACTTCAAACTAAGTCCAAAGATTACTTGAGTAAGAACCATTGGATTATCACTTATTCAATAAAAGATATTATCACAAAAAGTCCCAAGGAGTTACTTCAAATAAAGCCACCGTTACACCCATCAAAGGAGTAGTTACCCAACTAGGAGCTACTTTACCATCTTCTAAATTCGATGATTTCAATAAATCTCCTACAATAGTTTGTCTTGGTCCAATTTAGAATTACCCTCAACGGTTTACGTAGCCATAAATCCGATTTTGCATTCATTAAGATTTATTGACTTTTTATACCGTTTTGTTGCAAATGAATGATCTTATTATAGATCCATTTAGGATATGAAATTAAATAATAATAATAACAACTACTCTAGTCGTCATCTCTATATTTGATTTACTATTAAGTTTTTCTGGGTACGCCTTACATACTGCTTTTGGGCAACTCTCTCCACAATTAAGAGATCTATTCAAGGAACACGGGGACTAATTGAAGTAAGGAGCCGCCGATAGATACAATAGAAAATCATTTCACCATTTTAGTTTGAAATGGCCCCCGGGGGCCTCCTATACTTTGTGTACGTAATGCGAAAAAGTGCTAAAGCTCTTTTTTTTTCAAAGTCCAAAGGAGCATTTTATTGGGAAAATCCCTTATGATGTTTTGAAGATGACAAAATAATCAAAGGCTATTATACAGTTTATTGATTGAGTAGAACCATGTGAAAGACGCATAAGCCATTATGCAAATGGTGTCAAATAGGACGTCTAAAGGTTATATGCTCTTTATCAATGGTGATCAAAGCATTGGGTGTGCAGTCGTCTCTAAGTTGGAGGTACTTGAGTAAAAGGTAAAGAAGCCTAGAACGGCGAGTTCAATAAAGCTTGGATGTACCATAGATCAGTGAACAACCAAGTAGAGCCATGATTGTCAATATGCTTGAAAGTGAATATAACCAGAAGCCTGATATAATCAAGGAATTAGATCTCATCAGGAATTGCTGATATAAGCGAAGCGACTATAGTATCTGCACGACACTTTTACGTGCTCTGGAAATCAAGACAAAGATATCCCATGACGATCTTTATCCAAATATTTATAACAACTAGTGATTTAGCTCGGATTGCTAAATGAAGATATTGATTGAATATAACTAGAGTGGAGACAAAGAGGAATGTATAAACCAATGCAGCCATAAATTCAATCATGTTTTACAATTATAGCTTCCATACCTGTTCTGTTTGTTTGGGATTATCTCCAAAAGAGAAAGACAAAAACTAAAGGAAAAAGAACTCGCACGCACAATCCATCGAACATTTTAACCATGAGAAACATTTCGCGCAATTCCTTCTTCATTTTCGTCCTCCTCTTCACACTCCAACACGCCGTCGAATGCAAGACGATGTTAAAAGAGGACAGACCTTGCAAGAGATTCGTCCTCTTCTTGCACGACAAGCTCTTCAACGGGACCGATGCGGCCAATGCAACGTCGGCTGCGGTCACGGAGAAGATCGATGGATTCGGTGACTTCTTCTTCGGGAAGATGGTCATATTCAAAGACCCGGTGACAAGGGGCCACATGTTCCATTCGCTCCCGGTTGCTCGAGCTCAGGGGTTCTGTATCTGGGACTTGAAGACTTTCTATAATGCATGGTTCGGGTTCAGCTTGGTGTTCAATTCGACCAAGCACCGAGGCACGCTGAACATAATGGGCACCAACATTGTAGCGGACAAGGTTAAGTTTTTCTCGGTCGTCGGCGGCACCGGAGACCTTTTCATGACGAGAGGGATCATCGCGGGTGGAATTGGATTCTTCCGAAGGACTTGATTATTTTCGTTTGAAAATGGATATTAAGCTATACGAATGCTATTAAACCCTAGTGCTAAATTTCTAGAGTGCTTTTATTTGTAATATCGCATGTCATATGATAGAATTAGTTAAGATCTCTCACTAGACCTAGTGAGAACTTATCTCTCTCATCGGAATAAGGGATTTTGTTGGGTGACAAATTCATCCTGAGATCTATCTATTCATTTTGGACCTCGTTGTTTCTTCAGTTGTATAGTTCTCCAATGCCGTGATAGCTATACGGACTAGCGAGGAAAATCGCTTCCTCGAACGTTGGAATGCAACTTCTATGAAATTGAAACCCGACCTTGTTTTACCAAAAAATAGAACTTAAGATAGTTTCTTCTCCTCTTATCTTCACCTTAGACTAATTGCTGCGTATCTCTTTACAGATATATCAAAATCTTGGTAGGGCCATGCCGATATGTTCATGTGATTATGCGTGCCTCTTCTTAGCCTAACACCAACCAAAGCAGATATACCATATACCAACCAATCACGAGAGAGTTGCCTTGTGCTTTCTCAGTCAGACTATATCCATATTAGAAGACAAATAGTGGTTAAATAATATCTTAAATTGAAAAGTTGCTTCAAGAAACCGGTATAACAAATTGAAGATAAAATAAGAAAGAAAGGCACCTCCCTACACTGAAATACGGGGTCCAAAAATTCCTAAATAAGCTGAAGCGAATCTCCATCTAGGATCACAAGCATTAGCCAATAGCTAGCAACTACACATAATCAAACATGAGAAACGTCGTTGCGCGCAGGTCATGCTTCCTCGTCCTCGTCCTCCTCCTCCTATTCACAACCCAATTCGCATCGGCTACCAAGAAAACCCTCAACAAGGAACACCCATGCAAGAGATTGGTCCTCTACTACCACGACATACTCTTTGATGGCAGCGACGTGGCCAACGCGACGTCTGCGACGATCACTAACGAGACTAGGCTCGGCAACTTCAAGTTTGGGAAGCTGGTTGTGTTCGATGACCCCATGACGAGAGATAACCATCTTCACTCCCCAGCGGTCGCTCGAACTCAGGGCTTCTATTTCTACGACATGAAGAGTAACTACAACTCGTGGTTCGCCTACACCTTGGTGTTCAATTCGGCAGAACATAAAGGCACATTGAACATTATGGGTGCAGATATAATGGCAGCTCAAACTAGGGATCTTTCTGTGGTGGGCGGAACCGGAGATTTCTTCATGGCAAGAGGAATCGCGACCATGGAGACCGATACTATTCAAGGAGCCAAGTATTTTCGCCTCAAAATGGATATCAAATTATATGAGTGTTATTAGAGAAGCTTTCTTCGTGGAGCTCTCATTCTTCTGTGTTTTTTGCAAGAAGAGAGATTCAATGTTTCTCCAATTAAGCATTTTTCGTTCATGTTGCGATTGGCACTTTGGGAGAACCAATTATGGAAAGTTAATTTGAGATTGGACTGAAAAGATATATCCATTTGACTCTATTGTCATTTTTTCCGATAAAGATCCCACCAAACTTATCGAAAGAGAAACGGTTGGTATTTGCGTTGAAATTTCTCCAACAAATTGTCTTTTTCCTTTTAATTTTGCGATGAACAAACCCATTTTAGATAGGTACATGAATGATACTCCACTAGTCTAATGAATAGGGATAAAAATTTCCTTACCTCGACTTATCTTGTTTTGGGGGATAATAAGGCACATTACTCAGAAACATACGAGTTATTGAGTTAATTTGCAATAATCCTTGTATCCAAGCAACTTCGGATACACACTTTATCGAGTTTATTCTGACTAATGGCAAAAAAAGAGCGTGTTTATTAGCATGACTAAATGAGTTATACATATCAAGTCGTTTCAGATTGAAGTTTTCGCTTTCTTCATTCACTTTTCACCTTGAGGTCATGCTTAGATGCAATAAAACCATCGTGTCCAACATTGTCGGTCCTGCCGAACGATACTGTTTCATAACCTGTATACTGATAACCTTGCGGCACTAATGATTGAATGGACCATGGAAACCAACTTTGCACCAATGTTGGTCAAACGGGAAAGGGGGACCGCGGAGTAGAACCAACAACTCCACTCAAATCTGTATCAATTCACGGACGAAAATTCAACACCTGCATCATAGAGAGAGAACAAGAAGAAGAGAGTAAGTTAGAAAATTCAAATCGGATTGTTGACCGATCAATCCTACTCGAGGGAGAGTAGCTTTCCAAGGTTACTCTCGCTTCACCTAGGTACTCTAGCCTTCATGCTTCTTTCTTCTTCTTTTTTACCCTCCTTTTTTAGGTACCTTTTGAGGTGGCTAGCAATGATCACTTAGAGCGGGTTGAATATGTAATTTAAAATAATTATTGACCAATTTAAAGCAGAAGTAAAAGATCAAGAACAAAATCTGAACAACGTTCAGATTTTAAACAATCTTTGATAACAATTGTGTAAGTGTGCAATGTACTAAATAAAAGGAGTTTTCAAGGGAAGAGAAATCTGCACACAAGACATATGGTGGTTCGACTTATATCAAACCTACATCCCTCGCCCACGCTGACAGCCTACTAGCTGGATTCGACTAATCAAATTAATAAGAAGTTACAGCAAGTTGAGCCGCTTAAACCCAAGCACTTCTCCTCGAAACTAGTGCTGCTTATACCAAGCCAATAGATCACACCATCTCACACCTAAGCACACACTTATAACACTGTTTACACCTCTCAATTGATTACATGTTAAAGCTCATGAAAGACAAGTATAAAGATTGAAGTACACTCAGACTTTGGAATTCTAGATTATGGACTTCATCTCTTGCTTCTACTCCTCGACACGTTGGTCTCCTTTTATACTCCTCCACTTCCAAGCTAGCCGTTGGACAGTCTCCAAAGAATTATCTTCCAATCTACCCGTTGGATAGAACTGTATCAAGAAGATTGCGTAGTCGTTAAGGGACAAAATCTGAATCTCCACTGAATCTGGTTGCCCATACAACCAAAGTCTTGGTTTCCATAAGTAGAATTTCTCCGTTTAGAAAATAACTTGTCTCGAGATTAATTGCCAATCAATCAAGATGTTTTGTATATTAAATCGTTGCAAAACAATCTTCAAGATTGAGTCAATCAATTTATTCTAAGTGTGAAATCCAATACAAATTACTAGCCGTTATGTACGTTCTGAATACGTATTACGTTCTGGACTTGTGTCCGAAGTTCATCATCTCTAGTGTAAAGTCTGAATCTCTTTGAGTATAAAGTCTGAACCTCTTGAAGTAATTACACAATCTAAACAAGATTGACATATGCTTCTCTTCCAAGAATAACTTCCTGAATCAAAATACTTCAAGGCATTTATCAGATTTACAAGACACACATGGATAGTTTTGTCAACTTCAAAATCTATTAAGAGGTTTTCCCAACACTTTTTCCATCATTTTTATGTTATTTCCTGAATATTATAAATTTTTACATACTTACCATCCCTTAACGTGACATGACACAAACACATACACTACCATATACTATATAATACCGTGACTCGATCTCAATCCAAACTTAGCACATTTTGATTCACGTTAACGTGTCTGTGAAAAAAAAGATATATATTTTGGTACTTGATTGAACTTTTATCCAATGAGTATCCATTCTAGTTTCCCACATCATATAAGAATACACGAGTTGATCTTGACATAAAATTATCAGATTATGTTCTATCAAAATGTACCTTTGGCCAAAATTGTGCCCACTGAATTTTTGTTAATTTGGCCTCTGTCATCTACATACAACAAACCTTTCGCATACCACGACAATCTATTGTTTTATGATAATCATGTTATTAGTAACATATCATATATAAAGTATTAATTTGACTAAGTGGTGTCACGAGTTTTGGTTCATTTCTAGTGGCAGGACCCCCTAAAATTCCTCTTTTTAGCCATTTGTCCTCCCTGATTTTAATGTTCTCACCATTCCCTATCGACCACATTACATGAGGGGAAATATTCTCTCTTCCCATAAGTATGCTTTGCCACCCCCAAGAGAGTCTAGCCCCCTTCTCAGCATTCCAAAACTTTCGTTGGGGGAAATGGATTCCTTTAAAAAGTCTACTCCATAAAGCTATTTGGATTTTTTGAAATTCTCCAAGCCTGCTTACACAGCATAGCTTTGTTAACTCAATCAAGTCCCTGAAACCAAGACCCCCCTTGTCCTTCCTAGTGTTAAGGACTTCCCATCGTTTTCGGTGTGCAGCACTCTTTGAATTAGTGTTCTTCCACCAGAATGAAGCAATCTTCTTGTCAATAGCTCTACAGATAGATAAAGGAACTGTAAATATTGACATGGCATATTGAGGTAGAGCCTGCACTACAGTTTTTATAAGGATTTCCTTCCTAGCTTTAGATATCAGCTTTTCCTTCCAACCTTCTAGCTTCATATTTACTCTCCCCAAAATCCAAGCAAACATTTGTTTCTTTGACACACCCTAATCAGATGGAATACCCAGATGCTTGCCTCTCCAGTTGATCACTAGCACTCGCAACTCTCTAGCCATATTTTCTTTTAAATTGTGAGGACAGTCCCTGCTGAGGAAAATTCCTCACTTGTTAAGGTTTATAGCCTGCCCAGATGCCATACAGTATTGGTTTAACATAGCAGCTACATTCTGGCATTCCTGGACCCAAGGTTTGAGCCTGTTATAGGCCATAACCTAGAAGATAATTTTATACGCAAAGTTGCATAAGCTAATGGGAGGGAAATGCTCAACTTTCTCAGGATTGGGGATTTTAGGGACAAGAGAGATGTGAGTTCTATTCATCATAGGGGCTGACGTACCTGAATCAAAGAAATTCTTTATAGTCTTCAGGATATCATATTTTATTACCTCCCGGTGGTGTTGATAGAACAACCCATTCAAACCATCTGGACCAGGTGCCCTTGAACCTCCAAGCTGGAAAACTGCACATTTAATCTCCTCCATCGTAATTTCTGCCACTAAGGATAAATTCATATCATCTTTTACCGATTTAGGGCAATGGTTAAGTACTGGCATAAAATTCCTCAGCCCAATTGATTGATAAAGAATTTTAAAATAATCCGCAATGATCTGTTTTAGCTGCTGCTGATCACGAGTCCAACCTCCTTCTGAGTTTTTCAACATTGTGATTTTATTCCTTTGTCTCCTTTGGACGGTTGTAGCATGAAAAATTTAGTATTCTTATTGCCCCATCTCAACCAATTTATTCTTGCATTCCTTATAATTCAAACTATCCGAGCTCATTTACAAAACTGCACCAGGTCTTTGCATCCTCGAAAATATAACTTAAGATGGTCTCTTCACTTGACTTATCTTCACCTTAGACTAATTGCTGGGTATCCTTTTATAGATATATCAAAGTCATGGTAGGTCCATGCGATTATACATTGGCTCTTAGCTTTCCACCAACCCAAGGACAAAAACAAGCTCCTCAATCACGAGAGAGTTACCTTGTGCTTTCGCAGTCAGACTATATCTATTAGAAGACAAATAGTGGTTAAATAATAGCTTAAATCGTAAAATTACTCCAAGATAACGGTATAACGAATTTAAAAGGGAAAACAAAAGAAGGTATCTCCCTACAGGGAAATGTGGGGTCCAAAAATTCCTGTATAAGGTGAACCGACGCCCCAATCTATGGTCACAAGCGTTAGCCAATAGCTAGCAACTACACATAGTTAACCATGAGAAACATTGTTGCCCACAAATCATGCTTCCTCCTCCTCCTCCTCCTCCTCCTCCTCCTATTCACAAGCCAATTCTCGTTGGCCGCCAAGAAAACCCTCAACAGGGACCGACCATGCAAGAGGTTTGTCCTCTACTACCACGACATACTCTTCGGCGGCGACGATGTGGCAAATGCGACATCTGCGGCGGTCGCTAACGAGACCGGGCTTGGCAACTTCAAGTTTGGTAAGCTGATCGTGTTCGATGACCCCATGACGAAAGATAACCATCTTCTCTCCCCGGCGGTCGCTCGAGCTCAGGGCTTCTATTTCTATGACATGAAGAGTGACTACAACTCATGGTTCGCCTACACTTTGGTGTTCAATTCAACGGAACATAAGGGCACTTTGAACATAATGGGTGCAGATATAATGGCGGCTCAAACAAGGGATCTTTCCATCGTGGGCGGAACTGGAGATTTCTTCATGGCAAGAGGAATCGCAACCTTCGTGACCGATACTTTTCAAGGAGCCAAGTATTTTCGCCTCAAAATGGACATCAAACTGTATGAGTGTTATTAGACAAGCTTTGTACCTCGAGAGTTAAATTCTTGCGAGGACTTTTATTTGTCGTTGTCTATTAGGAATAAAATTGCTATCAGACAATGTTCGAATTCACATTTAAGAACTTATTGTATGGAAGATCCGTTTTTCATGTTTCAAATCAAATAAAATCTCCATGCGCAATCTCTATATTTTGTGAAGAGTGATCTGGTTGGAACACCTAGTGAAAAAGAGAAGCATATTGCCTAATTTTAGTAACTTTCTTCCCAGAGATCTCATTCTTCTGTGTGTTTTGCAAGAAGAGAAATACAATGTCTATCCGATTAAAGCATTTTTTTCATTACGTTCATGACTGCGACTCGCACTTTGTGAAGAAACCAATCATGGACAAACTTTACACAAAAGATGTGGTTGGTATTTGGGTTGAAGTTTCTCCAATAGATTGCCTTTTCCTTCTCTTTTTGCGACGAAGTTATCCAAGTTAGATAGGTAAATTTTAGACCCAAGAGCGACACTCTTCTGAGCTTATGAACCCGGTTAAATTTTCCGTATGGAATTGAGTTTTCTCCATTTTCCTCTTAAATGGCCATCGTAGTTTTCTTGAATTTTGACTCACTTCTTCACTTTTTTCATCTTCCGTTTAGATTATCTTCGTCAGTCATAGTAATCAAATCGAGTAAAGCCAATTTTCTTTTCGATGTCACTTTCTACGTTGTTGCTCGTTTTGGTAGCTCACATTGCTATGGTTGGGGTCCTAAATTGAGAAGTTTCTATTCAAAGCTCTATCGTGTGAAGCCTAATTTCGTACTTTTTTGTGATATTAAAGCTCATTTTGTTTCATAAAAAATGAATGATTTAAAAAATATTTTTCTAAAAATGATCGCTTATACTGCTTGAAATAATTAGTCAATGAAAAATATTTTGATTATCAACATCAATTTATATCTAAATATCTTTGTGAACGATAAAACTACTTTTCGTTCATTCATTTTTTTTTAAGTGTTACAAGCTGTTATTTTTAGATAATTATTTTTAAATTATTTATTTTTGCGAAATAAACAGAGAGTTAATACTTAGGCTCCATTCGTTTGGCGGAAAATATTCTCCCGGAAAATATTCTCCGGGTTTTCGGTGTTCGGGGCGGAAAACGTTTTCCGTGGGAAAATATTTTCCTTCCCCTCATAAAATAGCCTAAGTCATGGAAAATGACTTCCGCTTCTTCAAAAGCGGAAATCATTTTTTCGAAATGCTTCTTCTTCTTCTTCACTAAGGTCGCCGCCGCCCATCATGTCGCCGGCCGCCGGCTACCGCCCGCCGCGCCATGGCCATACCGCCCATCGGCCGCCGATGCGCTGCCGATTTTTAGATAAATATTTTCCGAAACTTTTTCATATTGGTGCCGAACACCGAAAATTATATTCGAAAAACATTTTTCGGGAAAATGACTTCCGAGAAAATATTTTTAAAAAGGAGAATATTTTCGCCTAACGAACGGAGCCTTAATATCTTTGGATAGATCAATCAAAAGCTCGGTAGGGCCATACCAACATGTCCTTGTGATTATGCATTGGCTCTCAGCCTTACACCAACCAACGGAAAAAGACAAGCTGGTAGTTCTAGGTCACCGTTGACCCAAGTTAATCACGAGAGAGTCACCTCTGTGCTTTCGCAGTCAGACTATACCTATTCGAAGACAAATGTGAGTTAAATAATATCTTGAATCGTAAAATAACCCCAAGAAAACGGTAGAAGGAATTTAAAAAAATATAAAGAAAAGAAAAGAAGGTATTTTCCTACAATTAAATGTGGGGTCCAAAAATTCCTATGTAAGGTGAAGCGAAGCCCCATCTATTGGTCCAAAGCATTAGCCAATAGCTGGCGACTACCTATAATTAACCATGAGAAACATTGCTGCGCAAAAATCGGGACCAACCAGGCAAGAGGTTTTACTTACATGACGTACTCTTCGGCGGCCGTGATGTGGCCAACTCGACATATGTGGCGATCGCTAACGAGATCGGGCTTGGCAAATTCAATTTTGGGAGGCTGATCAGGTTCGACGACCTGATGACGAGAGATAACCATCTTCTCTCCCTAGCGGTTGCTTGAGCTCAAGGCTTCTATTTTTAAGACATGAAGAGTGACTATAATGCGTGGTTCGCCTACACTTTGGTGTTCAATTCAACGGAACATGAGGGCACTTTGAACATAATGGGTGCAGATATAATGACAGCTCAAACTGGGGATCTTTCCATCGTGGGCGGAGCCGTAGATTTCTTCATGTTGAATCGTGACCTTCGTGACCGATATTCTTCAAGGAGACAGATATTTTCACCTCAAAATGGACATCAAAGTGTATGAGTGTTATTGGACGAGCTTTGTTCCTCAAGTATTAAATTTTTGAGACGACTTTTATTTATCGTTGTGTCTTAGGAGTAAAATCGCAATACGAACTATGCTTTGAATTAACATATAAGAACTTTGTTTCCGATTCTAGTACGACATTGTATGGACAATACGTTTTAAGACTAAATAAAATCTCCTTGCACAATCTCTATGGTTTGTGAAGAGTGATCTAGTTGAAACTAATAAGGAGTGAGCACCGGTCCAAGGTAAAACCGAGAACTGGACTAGACCAACCCTATTGGCCAATTCTGATCCGGTTTTAGGATCTACATGGTAATTTCCAAGTTTCAAAAATTAAGAACTGATTCCGACAGAATAGGACCCAGGTTCTAGATTTAAAAACGGCAAAAGGACACTATAAGTGCCATAAGTTGTGTACGGAGATCACTTTAGTGCCATAACTTTTTTTTGGATCACTTTGGTATCAACTTTTTTGAAAAACGATTACTTTAGTGCCAATGCTGACATGGTCGCCGGAAATCTGACGTGGCTCTTTTTTTATTAATTTCTGATGCTGACATGGCTCACCGGAAATCTGACGTGGCTCGTCGAAAATCTGACGTGGCTCTTTTTTTGGCCGGAATTTTGGCCGAAGTCACTAAAGTGATCTTTTTTCCTCCGACTTGGCACCAAAACGATCCGAAAAAAAGTTACGGCACCAAAGTGATCTCCGTACATAACTTATGGCACTTATAGTGTCCTTTTGCCATTTAAAAACTACCCACCCCGGAATCACTCACCACTACTTGGATAATGCCAATCTCGACAGAGTAGGTTCCAGTTTCTAGTGGCGTCCAATCTGTCTCCAACTTGGTGAGTGTCGGCATATCGAGCAAACTTTTCGGGGACATCCACTGTTTGATCTCCACCTCCTTCAAAGAATCTAATTCTTTCAATGTCAACAACTCTCAACACTCCATAATAACGTAGCTCAAAATGCTGTAGTTTTTCCATCTATTATAAATTGTTGCTTTTGGCGGATGAGAAATTCTGTTGTTGCTTTAACTTTCATTTTGCTTGACTAAGGGATGAGTTGGACACTTCCCAATTGTTTTATATTTATGTTTGTTTTGTATCATACTTCTTCCCGTTTTGTTGCTCTACTATTTTGCTGTAACTATTATTTGTTTTTGTTGTAAATTAGGGGATGTTTTACTTAAATTTGTCTTTTCAAGGAATAAATGAAATGAATAAAAAATTGGTTTGCTCGGGAACCGGACTAGACCAACAGGATCGGTTCCAGACTCTACAGGGTAGGTTTCGAGTTCCAAAAATTGAGAACCGATCCCCACAAGACAGATAAATAACCTATCCATCTACGAACCGCTCACTCCTAGTTGAAACACCTAGTGAATACATGGAAGTCAATTTGAGAGGGGACTGAAAACACATAACCATTTGAGTCAAGTGTCACTTTCTTCCAATAAAGATCCCACCGAACTTTTCCAAAGAGATGTGGTTGGTATTTGGGTTGAAATTTCCACAACACATTGTCTCTTTCCTTTTCATTTTGCAACGAAGAAATCCACGTTAGATAGGTAAATATCAGACCCAATAATGCTACTCTATTAAGATTATGAACAAGGTAAATTTTTCCACGTTGAATTGAGTTTTCTCCATTTTTTTCCTCTTTATTTGGCCATCATTTTTTTAAACTTTTTGACTCACTTCTTCATTTTTTCACCTTCTGAATTTTTTAACGCCTTTTAAATTATCTTCGTCGGTCATAGTAATCGAATCGGGTGAAGATAATTCTCTTTTCAATATCACTTTCTACAATGTTGCTCGTTTTGGCAGCTCACATCGATATGGTTATGGTCCTAAATAGAGAGGCTTCTCTTCAAACCCTCTCATGTGAAGCCTCATTTCGTACTTCTTCGTGATATAAGTCTACCTCCATTGGAGAGTCATATGCTTACCAAGAAATAGTAGACAAGGCGACTAGTAAGTGTTAACACAAAGATATTTCGAGGAAGAAAACAACATTCCTCACTTTTCTGTATATGTTCTTCATTAGTTTATAATGACCTAGAGACGTATATATATACAAAGAAAAGAAAGAATCTTAAAAGATATATCCTCTAAACTAGCTAACTATAATCCTTGATTCTAGCTAATTACAATCATAAATATATTTTACAGCTCATTCTCACAGTAAACACCAAAGAACATGGTCCCCGTAGTACTACTGAATAGAAAGAATATCAAGGATAGCGCCTCTCCACTAAGTCAAATTCAAACAACGTGGGAATTCACCTTGGACTTCATAAAAGTGCTTGTCGAGAAAATCCTCAAAATATTAATTGACCCATACTTAATAAAGGAATAAATTTTAGTTTCCGAGAAATCAATTTTAAGCATTGCGATAAAATTAAAGAGGGTTGAGAATCACGATTCCTCTTTTGATTAAGTGTTTTAAATATCCTCGTTAACCAAATCCTTACATGTGAGAAAAAAAAAATCACGCTAGCATATTGCATACCTTAGTGATTGGTTCTTGTCCGTCATATATATTATCTATATCATGAGTTTATACGAAATATGTTTCATATAGAAAAATGTCGGTGTTCTTATTGGAATCCGAATTTTTAATGGATCAAGGACCGGCATTGGATTGATTGGTAGCTTACCTACCGCTTATAGACAGACCCGCTTCGGCTTCCAACTTCAACTCCGCAAAAGGCTAATTTGGCAACCTAACTCCACCACTGTTTCACCAGAAAACAAATTGACCAGAGAAAAAAGCACCAAACGGGGTGTGAGTTGGAATTCCTCGACACGTGCATACAGACATTATTGACAGTTTGTGGAGTTCTTGTCCTCGTGCATAAGCCCGGAATAGATTACTCCAGCTCCTGCACCGACAAGACAAACCGACTAAACTCAGGCATCGTTGACATCGCACCACTTACCATAAAAAGAGAACATCAACACCACACCCTTTCTTCGTCCTATCATATGATGATAATACAGTGAATGAAGCAAAATTTAGAATTTTTTGTCACCAACCAAACCAAGCTGTGCCAATTAACTTTAGCACCTAAATTCCTTGTCAAACTCCATACATCCTTTTGATTAAACCTACCATTTCCAGATGTTTTGCAGAGAGACTGGAGTGATGTGTGCTTGTGCCCTTTCTAGCCACAATCTTCTACTCTTTACCAGCTAGCACCACACGTGTTGTGCGTAAAGAGGAAAACCACCGTTGAAGTCTTGCCCTATTTCTGAAAAATGCAGAACAAAAATGCTCCGAAAAACGAGAACGGTTTAGATGTAAGTACAGTAAAGATGATCGATTTTCTCGTTGCTGAAATAACAAGTATAGTTTAGTGAATTTACGAAATGTGACCACACCTTCACCGTGTCCTCACGGTGATGGTGTTTGCTACGATCCCACAGAACCCATTGGTAACATGCATGCATAAAAAAACAATATATTTAGAGATGTAATGTGTCATGTTATCGTCCAGAGAATTTGTTCCAGTGCCAAGAAAATCTGTCATTGTTAATTTATAAACCGTTTAGATTGGTGGGCTGTTAATGTTAATATATGATACTGAAACTAGAGGTCTCAAGATTCATTCCTCACAATCTCTTCTGCATAAGTATGATTAACTGTGCAAGTAGTAGGTAGGGTTTTCATTAAGCCCTAGGTATAGTTTTATATGAAGGAATCGGAATCTCAATTGAACTTTGCCATATATAGGCCTCGCTGTTCCACCTTACTCTATGCTTTTCTCAAATCATAGAAAGATTCCAATGTATGGACTGCACAAAATACCAAGCAAGATTATTTCCCTGTATTTCCCTATATATAGAAACCCAAGATTTTATGGCAACAGCCAAATATCTCCATCAGATATTAGTCATTTAATAAATCAGATTAATAATTTAGGTGAAACGAGATCAAAGAGATGACTTATATTTTTTCTTTCTTGTTATTCGAAACCATATCGCAATTAGTTAATATTTAGGCCGTGCTCGAAACCTCATTAATTGAGTCGGACATTAAATATCTTCCATAAAAAATAGAGCCAAAAATGTATGTGGTTGCGACACATACTGCCTATCATACAGTGAAAAGTCTAGGCATGGTCATAGACAAAGGTATCTATTTCGGCGGATCACATGTACGTGTACCCCATCATAAGATCCACACATTGACAATGAGCATATCATTTCATCGAATTTCCTTTTTTTTTTTCCTCCGGATCAATTCCTCGCAATCTATTTTCATCAAATTCTCTACTTTTCCCTAAACATTTTGAGTGGAAATGACCGGATACGTCGATCAATCACATAGTCACTTCGCAACGTTTTGCATTAGTGAGAATCATTAACTATGCAAGTTAATGGTAGAGCAAACATTGACCTTGCCATTATGCCTTTTCACTATCGTTTTAGATAAAGGAATCAAAGCCGTAATTGAACTATGTCATCTTTAGGTTCGACGTCACTATTCCACCTTTTACTTCAGGTGTGTGTGTATATATGTACACGAACACAAGATTTGATACCAACAGCCAAACATCTCCATCAAACATTAGTTATCAGATAAATCAGATCCATCAATTTAGATGAAATAGGATCAAAGAAATATCTTCCTTTTCTCTTTGTCAAATTCCCCTTTGACTAATTGCCGGGTATCTTTTCATAGATATATCCAAACCTTGGTAGGGCCATGCCAACATGTCCATGGGATTATGCATGGGCTCTTAGCCTCCCACCAACCCTAGGATAAGCTCGCCAACCACGAGTGAGCTACCTTGTTCTTTCGCAGTTGGACTAGATCTATTAGAAGAAAAATAGTGGTTAAACAACATCTGCAATCATAAAAGTACTCCAAGAAAATGGTACAACGAATTTAAAACTAAAAAAGAAAAGAAAGGAAGGTATCTCCCTACAATGAAATGGGGGGTCCAAAAATTCCTATATAAGGTGAACCGAAGCCCCATCTAATGGTCACTACACAAGCATTAGCCAATAGCTAGCAACTACACGTAATTAACCATGAGAAACATTGTTGCACCCAAATCATGCTTCCTTGTCCTCCTCCTCCTATTCACAAGCCAAATCTCTTTGGCCACCAAGAAAACCCTCAACAAGGACCAACCCTGCAAGAGGATTGTCCTCTACTACCACGACATACTTTTCGGTGGCAACGATGTGGCCAACGCGACATCTGCTGCAGTCGCTAACGAGACCGGACTCGGCAACTTCAAGTTTGGGAAGCTGATTGTGTTCGACGACCCCATGACGAGAGATAACAATCTTCTCTCTCCAGCAGTTGCTCGAGCTCAGGGGTTCTATTTCTACGACATGAAGAGCGACTACAACTCGTGGTTTGCGTTCACTTTGGTGTTCAATTCGACGGAACACAAGGGCACTTTGAACATAATGGGTGCGGATATAATGGCGGCTCAAACTAGGGATCTTTCCGTCGTGGGCGGAACCGGAGATTTCTTCATGGCGAGAGGAATCGCGACCTTCGTGACCGATACATTTCAAGGAGCCATGTATTTTCGCCTCAAAATGGACATCAAACTGTATGAGTGTTATTAGACAAGCTTCACACCTCGAGGATTAAATTCTTGCGATGACTTTTATCTATCACCCTATCTATCAGGATCGTTATCGAACTATGCTTCGAATTAACATATAAGAACTTTGTTTCCGATTCTAGTACTACATTGTGTGGACAATCCGTTTTTCATTTTTAAGACTAAATAAGATCTCCATGAACAATCTCAATGGTATATGAAGAGTGATCTAGTCGAAACACTTTAGTGAATGCATGGAAGCCAATTTGGGAGTGGACTGAAAATACGTATCCATTTGACTCTCTGGAGTGACACCTTTTTCCGACAAAAGATCCCATCAAACCTTTCCGGTAAAAGTGTTAAAAAAGTCCTAAACCTTTTGCATTGGTGCCAATTCAGTCTTAAACCTTTTTTTAGTGCTAATTCAGTCATAAACCTTTTTTAGTGCCAATTCAGTCCTAAATCTTTTGCATTGGTGCGAATTCAGTCCTAAACCTTTTACATTTGTGCCAATTTGGTCATAAACCTTTTTTTGGTGCCAATTAGTCATAAACTTTTTGTATTTGTGCCAATTCAATCCTAAACCTTTTTGTATTTGTGCCAATTCAGTTCTTCGACACGTGAATAGCTATTAGCTGGAAGGACTGAATTGGCACTAATGCAAAAGGTTTAGGACTGAATTGGCACAAATATAAAATGTTTAAAACTGAATTGGCATCAAAAAAAGGTTTATGACTGAATTGGCACCAATGTAAAAGGTTTATGACTGAATTGACACCAAAAAAATGTTTAAGACTAAATTGGCATAAATGCAAAAGGTTTAGGACTTTTTTGACACTTTTCTCGAACTTTTCGAAAGAGATGCCGTTGGTATTTGGGTTGAAATTTCCACAATCCACTTTTCTTTTTCTTTTTGTAAATTATGTTCGTTTAATCAAATCGTGTAAAGCTAATTCTCTCTTCAATGTCACTTTCTACATTGTTTCTCGTTTTGGTAGCTTACATTGCTATGGTTGTGGCACTAAATAGAGAGGTTTCTCTTCAAGCTCTATCGTGTGAAGCATGCTTTCGTAGTTTTTCATGATACAAAGCTCTGTTTTTTTTACGAAAAATGAATGATTTGAAAAATAATTTCCTAATAATCGTTACTTGTATCATCTAAAATAATTATCAGTCAATGAAAAATGTTTTCATTAAATACAACATTTTATGTCTAAATGTTTTCGTTGACGATGAAAACATTTTCTGTTTATTCATTTTTGTGAGCAATACAAGCGATTATTTTTATGGAAAACATACGATGAAAAGATTTTTTATCTATTTATTTTTGTGAGCGATACAAGCAATCATATTCAGAAAAATATTTGAACATCATTCATTTTCCACGAAACAAACGAAGTTTAAGTCTACATCAATTGGAAAAGGAAAACACAATTATTCTCTCACCAAGAAATAATAGATAAGGCGACTAGTAAGCACCAAAAAACATGGTCCACATAGTGCTGAATGGGAAGAATATCAAGGATAGCGCCTCTCTCCTAAGTCACATTCAAGCGACGTGGGACTTCACCTTGGACTTCATAAAAGTCCTTGTCGAGAAAAATCCTCAAAATATTAATTGACCCGTACTTGATAAAGGAATAATTTTTAGTTTCGAGAAAATGAATTATAAGTATTGCGAGAGAAAATTAATAGAGTATCGAGAACCACGATTCCTCGCTAACAAAATCCTTACTCGTGAAAAGACCTCTGTAGCACATTGTTGATGGATCCAGCAATGTCTCACCAGAAAACGATTGACAAGAGAAGAAAGCAAAAGGGGTGTGTGATGGGATTCTTCAACGCGTGCGTGAATAGCTGCTTTTGGATGCTCGCGTGACGGGCGTGCTTGGAATGTTCCCACACTCTTATCTTCATAGAAAATTACGAAAAGAATTCACAAACTTATTACTATACGAATTCCAAATTCCATCCGAAACTTTTTAATTTGGCCGACTTCTTTTTTGGTAGAAAATTTGGCCGATTTAGTTATAAATCTTTTGACGATTTGCCAATGTAGTCCTTCTTGGATAAAAATCGCTGACGTGGACGCCGGCCATCTTACGTGGTATGGCCGGCGCTAATATGGATGATTTTTGCAATTTTTTTAAAAAAAAATCTGAATTTTCTTTTTTTCCCTTTTTTTTTCCTTTTTTCCTTTCTCTTTTATTCTTTCTCTTTTTTTTCCTTCATTGGATTTATGGAATTAACTTAGCAAATCATCAAAAAGTTTAGAACTAGATTAATCAAATTAAAAAATTTATGATTGAATTGGCATATGTATGATAGGTTTAAGACAGGAAAATTACCAAAAAAATTCCTAAACCTATTGCACTTATGACAAATTAGGGGTTAATTCCAAAAAAAAGCATCAACTTTAAGTCGAGAGACAATTCTGGCCCGAACTTTTTTTTATCCCATAAAAAAACACCAACTTTAGGTCGAGTAACAATTCTTGCCCTAACTTTTTTTTGTCTCATAAAAAATCACCAACTTTCACCCTGATTCCAAATTTGGCCCCCCGTTGACTTTCTGTCTGAAGTCAACCTTATTTGAAAAAAAAAGGTTATGGTGGTGATCTTGACAAATCACGTCCATGGCGTCTGTCGACAGATGGTGGACTACAGCTTTAGATTACGAAAAAACGACGAAGTCTGGTCAAAGAAATTCAATCTGGAGATATTTTTTACTTGCCAGTGAAATAAAGGAAATAAACAGTTTCACCGTTATTCTTCAAGTTGTGGCTCAGAGAATAAGACAATGAATAGTGCTTTAAATCCAATCAGCAAGCCACGTGGATTTATTGCTAAGGTAGAATAGTCAAGTTGGATAATCAATAATTCTAAGTCAATGGAGGCCAAATTTGGGATTTAAGTGAAAGTTTATGTTTTTTTACGAGATAAAAAAAAATTGGGGCCAGAATTGTTACTCGATCTAAAGTTGGTTCTTTTTTATGGGACAAAAAAAAGTTCAGGTCAGAATTATTCCTCAACCTAAAGTTGGTGTTTTTTTAAGGGACAAAAAAAAGTTTGGGCCAGAATTGTCCATCAACCTAAAGTTGGTGCTTTTTTTTTTAATTAGGCCGACAAATTAGTCATAAATTTTTCAATTATGTTAATTGAGTCTTAAATATTTTCATGTTTTGCCAATAGAGTCCATCCGGCCCATTTTGGCTTGAAATTGCTGATGTGGACACTAGTCGTCCTACATGGCATAGCCGATGCTGGCGTGGATAATTTTTCTTTAAAAAAATCGATTTTTTAAATTATTTTTTAATTATTTCTTTCTTTTTCTTTTTTTGTCTTCCTCCTTCAGTCGCCATTGCCGACACTGGCCAAAGGAGAGGGTCACCGACAGCCACAGTGGCCTCGCCTAGTGGTTGGTGAGGGCCCGACGACCCTCACACCGCACACGCCACGAGGGAGAAACTTACACGAGCGAGCTTTGGGAGCGACGGTTGCATTACACGGACAGTCTGGAGGAGGCGGCGGCGATCCGGGACTAGAGGGCGGTTCGAGACTATAGCTGAAGGAAGCAGAGAGGCTGTGACGACGGAGGGTGGCTGATCAAAGGGCCACTGTGACGAAGAAGGGTTGGGGCTCTTTGTCCCCGCGGGTCAGGAGCTTCGAGATCATAGCCATCGCCCAGAGAGAGGGAGCGAGAGTTACGTGAGGGGTGGTTCTGGTGAGAGGGAGATGGTTTTTCACTTTTTGCATTACGATCCAAACGATGGCGTAGAGCGAGGGAGAAAGCGAAGGGAAGGAAGACAGGAGGGTGGGTCTGAGAGACATGCTTTGTTAACATGACCTGTGAGACAAAAATCAAAATCAAATGGTCGTCACCGTCATTCAACAACTCGCTTTTATTTCTCCGCCATGAAAAAGAACTTGAAACCTCCGTTGAAGCTCTGAAACCGAGCTCTTTTCTTATAGAAGAACCCATTGGGCAAGGCAGCCTAAACCATATCTGGGCGAGGCCAAGCAAGGGCCATTCCCCTCGCCCACGACCGGCGAGGGTCGTTGGGACCTTGCTAGCAACAATAGGACGGCCGGCGTCCACGTCAATGATTTTCGACCAAAATTGGCCAGATGGACTCACTTGGCAAAATATGAAAAATTTTAGAACTCAATTAGCACAATTAAAAGATTTAGACTGAATTAGCAAAAATGCAATAGGTTTATGACTTTTTTGGTCATTTTTCCGGTTAGGACTTTTTTGGTGAGAGAAATGGTTATGTAACTGTCCTTAAGCTACTGTAAAAATTACAGCTTATTTTGGGCCACAAAAAATTAATAACAAATATTTAGAAATTATCGTGGGGTCCACTCTTCGAAGAATTTGTCGCTCACAACATGTTATTATTCTGACAGTAACCCAAAAACTATTATGCTAGTAAAACCCTTTTAGTAATTATCATTTCTCTCTCTCTCCATATTAATTTTGGTCATCCATGCGTATAGCTACTTTCCTATGCGGGTCTTGTTAACAAGTGCAATAGAAGCGTTAATTAAGAGCTAATTAACAATACTAAAACTAGTAAAACGTACATCAACATATTTTGGAAATTGAAAACAAGCACATTATTAAAAAATGGCATGCTTTAAAATCGATATGTTCATATCTTCTAAGCATTATTAATGACTCATAACAAGTGCCTTAAGGTACATTCAATACCTTCCTTCCTATCATGTTCTTTTGCTAGCAATTTGGCGCCCGCGCACATGGTTTCATTCTTATTTTCTCATATATTATCGAAAATAGTCAATACTTAGGCCATGTTTAAGACCTCATTAATTGAGTCGGACACGAAATGTCTTCCATCAAGAATAGAGCTGAAAAATATATGAGAAAACTATTATGATCACGGCACATGCGACCTACCCTTTAGTGAAAAGTCTAGGCATGGTCCTAACAAAGCTATTTATTTTGACGGATCTTATGTATATTTACTAATCATAAGATCCACATATTTGTAGCGAGCATATCATTTCAAAGATATAATACATGATCTTCGTTGCATGTATAATGGGATCGACGAAACCAATTACAATATAAAATTTATCTCAAAATTTCCAGTGAGACCTATTAAATAATTAGCTCGATCTAATATAATGAATTATTCCATTAATCTCTGGCAACTAGTGTCAATATCGCTTCCAGTCCAGTGGGGGCCCTTC